TTCCCACACTTTCTCTTTCTTTCCCGGGAAAACAAGGCAGCATGAGGGCAGAGAAGAAGCTGATCCAGGCCGTAACAATGTGGGTGAGGCGACAACCGCCCAAGGCGAAGGCTCTCATGGTGCTGGTATCGGGGATTTCGGCGCTCCTTTTTCTCCGATTCATCGTACACGACCACGACAATCTCTTCGTCGCCGCCGAGTCCGTCCACTCCCTCGGAATTTCTGTCCTCATCTTTAAACTCACGAAAGAGAAGACTTGTGCTGGTAATCCCCTCTCCCTTCACACACACACACAAAAAAGGTTAATTTTCATCATTTGATTAGAAAGTTTCAGATTTATTACATGATGCATTGATGTCTCTTCATTATGATTGAAATTCATATGGATACGAATTCCAAAGATCATCTAAATATATGAAAAAATCTAATTATATCCATGTCAGATTAACGTAGATTAAATGTTTATAGTATGGTATCATATCGATTCACAATGAAAAATTTCTTTTCGATGCAAGGGGAAAGGAAGCCCTTTATTGATTGATTGCCTGGCCTGTTTGATGATATTACGAGTTTTGCACTTTGCTATTTCTTATGTTTGATCAAAACGTGCTATTTTTACGGTTTTTCCAATTGCATGTATGACCGGACTGTTTTATACTTCGATTAATGATTGGAATATGCATTATCTGTTTTAATCTTTTTTCATGTGATTAAATCAATTAATGATAGATTGATAGTATATATATATATATAACGATATATCTCTGATAAGCAACTACGATAACGGCTGCAGCAGCGACGACGACGATGCGAGGGATTCGTGAACAACGGAATTCGAAGATATCGAGACTGGATTTCCCTCTAACTGCAGCATGATGCTCCCCAAGATCTCTGTCAATAGTTTCTTGAACTCGTCTTCTTTAACCATCTTCCCATCATTCGCGTTTACCATGTCGAAAGCATCGGCAACGACCTTGTCGATCCGGAGACATTTCAACAGCATTGATTAAAGAGGAATGACATAGGCCTAGAGTTGCATTTTGCAAGTTTGTATTGCATCCTATGATGATCATGTATGTGCCAATACATATGTCGTTGCATTACCTGTTCTACTTCACCGACTGGAGGTAAACCGGCTGATGGACCAACGAAATCGAGCACCGCACGTAAATATTCCTTCGATACTTTACCGTAGCAATCTTTCGGAATGTTGTTCAATGCTATATTAAGTGACTGCAATTGCAGAAAATGAATTGCTTGATAAGTCCAACATACACAGTACATACAGGGGAGACAACAAGAGGATCAACTTATTACCTTGTCTAGTTCAAACTTGTTGGATAGTATTCTTTTAATGCCGCTTCCGTCGAAGGTGTTTTCGCTATGGGCGACGAATACCGGTATCCCTTTGAGATTTTTAGCCACACACTCTGCAACTTTCTTAAATGCTTCGAGGAATGTTTCTTGTGACACAAGTTTCTCGAGATCATTGCCATCCGACCATGATTGCAGAGTCGGTTCTATTATGTTGCTGATAACCTACACCACAAGCAAACACAAGCCAGATTCTTAACATTGCAGATTGAAGGTCAAACTATATATCCATATGGAAAGTAAATTACCCAAGAATCCAAGCAGGGCGGCACGCCGTGATCGACCGAAAGTTTCTCGAAGGCCTTAAGGATGCAATCCCTCAACGATACGGCATCGTCCGGCGCAATCTGTTGAAATATGGACACCATCTCCACTTCATAACTCGGACCATTAGTTAACTTCAACAGGTCTTCACCGTCGATACGGAGGATTACGATAGGGTCTCGCTTCAAACTGGCAGCCATGCCTAGTAAAATATTCGAAAGCAGGGTTTTAAATCGTGGTCGCGGTCACGTTTTCGGTAATTTCGGATTTACCGTGATTGCGGCCGTCGCGGGTAACTCGGACGGTGGTGAAACCGCTATATCGCGGCCGAAATCGCGGTCACGGACCGTTTTTTAAAACCCTGTCCGAAAGAACCTCTTTGAACACCGACTTGCTCACTCTTTCTCGCTTTCCTCGAGTGAATTCATTCAAAACCTGCAAGAAAACATGCCTAAAACTCAGCTTCTACCCCATTGAACCTATCCCAAGAGTGTAATGGAGAGAAAAAATGTTGACAAATATAACATTTTAGAAAACGAAAAACATATTATCGATATGAAATACAAAGAAAATATAAACCTCGGAATAAATATGGTCGGAAGCGGGAGAAGAACCCTGAGCAGGCAAGCCAAGAGCAGCACCAATATCGGCAACGGCAGGCCGTACCTCATTCACAGAAAGCTGACCATCGCTGTCTTTATCGAGCTCATTGAACTTATGATCAACGAAACTGCTAAACAGCTCCTTGTTCTCAACCAACTTCATTATATCCGAACCGTCTAGAATCTCTTCACCTTTCTTCTTTAAAAGGCTTCCTGCTGTTGATGTTCTTGTCGCCATTTATTTCTTTTGCCCTTTTTCTCTTCCTTTTCGGATCAAAAGCCGGTGGTTTTCTTGCGAGTCCCGTGAGTTAAACACGAGTTTGAAGTGACGAGAGAGGTTTTGGCTTTGGCCTTCGAGAATATTTTGGGTGAGTTGAACTTTGATTGTTCTGAGTTGGTGTGGGTGTCTTTGGGTTGCGCCTGTCTTATACGACACGGTGATGAATATAATTGCTCTCTATTTATAACAGTTGATTCCCCCAAAAACAAATAGAAAATAAAAATTGGAGACTATTAACACAATGAGACTGAAAGTCAATAGAGATAATCCTGGGAATGGAGGATGAAGGCTTTTAGAGAGAATTTTATCGAATTTTAACTCGTGTAAAAATATTTATTACAAGTTCTTACTTAAATTTTAGATATAAAGTAATAAAATAATCCTAACTTTTTAAAAATATTGTTAAATTTATCCGTATTAATTTTTTAAAATATTTAATCACTTAATATTTAATTTTGAGTCAAAAAAAATACCTTTCGATATATAAAACTATTAACCAACTGATGTTGATGTTAATGAATTACACACACGTAAAGAAATATGCTAACGTAGATGTCCAAGTCATAGTAATTAATGACGTGGTAATGCCACATTCGATTTTTTTTAAAAAAATAAAAAATTATAAATAAATATATAACAGTTTTTTTTTCATTTCAAAAACCTAACTCCCATGTTTTGAAAATCGGATCGGATCGGATCGGCTAGTTCAACCGAGAATCGTTGTCTAATTCGGTTCAACCGGAAACCGTTGCCTAGTCCGATTCAATCTAAATCAGTTGAACCGCTACTAGTGAACCGGCCAGAACTCGCTGAACCGTTCGAACCGGGCCGGTTGAAAACCTGAAAAAATCGGAAAAACCGAAAAAAAATCAGAAATTTTGTTTTTTTAAAAATTAAACCAAACGTCGTTTGTTAAACGAGCCAAGTTGAACTTGAGTATTGCTGAGCTCGACTCGAACTTAAAAACGACTCAAACTCACAAGCTAAAAATTATCAAGTTCAACTCAAACTCGAAATATAATATTGAAACTTGAACTCAAAAAGGCTTGAACTCAAAAAAAATTTAGAAACTCGATTGAAGCCTAAAATTCGAGCTTGATTGAAGTGAAAGAATAGTTCACTAAATGCTCACCAAAAGGCTCCATGATTTTAAATGTCAAATTACCTCTATTATTTATAGAAGTTAGTTGTAATGCTCTTCTATGTTTCTTAGCAATGTGTGATTGTTTTGTTATCATATTTTTACTCTTTATACTTTTGGGATTGTTTTGTTATCTATTTTTTAATTATAGTTATATAATTATATTTATTATTTAATATGTTTTACCGTAAATATTATGTTGTAGTTAATTTAAATCATTTTGTTTCACTTGATTTTATGGTTTTTAACTTATATATGTTATGACTTGCTTTGAATATGAATTGTGATATAAAAAATTATTTTTTATTAAATATTTTTTATATTTTTATTTAATTTTTTAAATAATTATGACGTTGTTCGGTTCTTCTGACCGATCAGACTGATTCAACCAATAAATCGATAACATAACCGATTCGTTAACCGATGCGATTCTTAAAACCATGCCCAACTCTAAAAGAAAGCTTCTTTATCTGACTCTCAAATTCGACTACTTCTCAGTTGCCAACAGACCACCAAGCTCCCAAACGAGGCGCCGATTCACAAATCCGGCCACCAGCCACGGAGGCCTGAAAGACCAAAAGCCAACCTAAACTAACCTAAATCCTTAGATATATCTACCTAAACCCAAATCGGAGACCAAAACCTATGAACAAAACCTTTAAAACCCCCTATATAGCTTCTGACGCTTCCGTTCTACTCCGGCCACCATGAGTTACTCTGATAGTCTCTCCTAAAACCTTTCTCCGCTCCCTATAATCCTAGATCGATCCCCTAAAAACACATGCAAACCCCGATTCGTGTCTTAGAGTTATCAGATTCTCCTAATGCTCTCCCCGACGATAGAGGCCAAAGGTAAAACGAGCCTCTCTTTCTGCTTCGAAAATGAAAAATGGAACCTTTGATGCCTGTTTTGTAATGTTTGGTTTCGAAATCTTGCTTGGTTCTGGAATGAATAAAAAAACGGAAATTCCTTGGTGCTTCTCGTGTTATCGAATAAAGTAATCTGTGGTTGGAATTAGCGGATTTGAGGAATCTAGTTCCGTTTTTCTGGTTAGTTGTTGAGGTTCTTTTGATTACTAAACAGAGGTGTATTGCTTTAAAGGTTGCTGGATTTTACATGTTATGGTACGGAGCTTAAAGGTGTTGGGTGGTTTTATCCTAAAGTTCAATTTAGTCTAAAAATCAAACCTGATATTTTAAGTAAAATTCATACTCGACTCGATTCGATATATATAATTGCTATTATTTTAGATAAAATAGGATGTAATTGAAAAAATATATAAAGAGTATTATTATAACAATTATCGTTAAATATATAAAGATCAATTATATTATTATTATTTTTGGGTTGTGTTGGGTCAAGTAGAAAAAATTTTAACACTAAATTCGATCCGGTCTAACCTAATTCTTAAAAAAAAACTCGATCAAACTTAAACTCAAAATTTCAATAACAAAGTCGGATAAAAAATCTATCGTGTTCGGATCGAATATACATCTCTAATCCCATCCTTGAACGAGATTATATATCTTATCTATCAACCTATTTGGTCAAAATATAATTTTGATATTTTATTGTACTCAAATTTAAGAATTTATCTATATATTTAATTTTTCATGATATAATTTTCAATTTTTATAATATCAGTAGTCAGTTTAAATGATTAACATCATTAACTACTATTGTAAAATATTGACATATACAAATATATTTTATAAAAAACACCTCACCTAATGAAGACACAAATATATATGTACATGATAAATTGGACTAAGTGATGATATTATAAAATATTGGAATTAAATTATGTAAAATTATAAGGATTAAATGCCTAACGTGAACATAGTTCAAGGACCAAAGTCAAATTTGACATTTTCTTTTATCGTACAAAGAAAGTCGCATCCTATTAACCTAAGAACAAACCCTTACCATCTTGGTTTTCAATGTTTGCCAACTCTAGTTGAAATCAATACATATCTAAAAATTTAAAATTATCATATATTTTACATATTTTTATATATTTTTTTTATTAAAAATTTATTTTTCATCCTTTAAAATCTTATAAATTCAAGTCGTTCCTCTAAATTTTTAAAAATTGATCTCTTAGTATAAAATTATACATTCATCCCTATGATGGTTTTTGAGAAGACATTTATGGTTATTGAGAAGAAACAAACCTCAATTTGCTCACCTTGAGCTCTGACAAGTTTCGATCTATTTGTGTTTCACGTTTTATGAGATATGACCGAAGAAAAGAGTTGTAGATAGAAATGGACCGAAGGAATTTGATGGAGACAATAATTTTTCTTTGAAAATTTTAAATTATTGTATAATTTAGATATTTTTTTGTTGATTAAAGTTTTATAAATTAATCTCTTAATATTTTATAAAATTTTCACAAAAATCTACATTTACATATCTTACATTTTACAAAGGAACAAAAATAATCTAATCAACGAAAAATATAAAATCTGCAAGCTAAACAAAGCAACCATGGCTTCATATCTCAGCTGCAGACATGCAACCGAGAAGTGAGATGGATAAAGACATGTTGGTCGCACGGAATCGTAAGACCGCCCATCGGGTGATCGAATCCGAACTCCTCCTCGACCCAATGGAGCAAATCAAGAAAGGAAGGATGGCTCAAGTACGAAATCGGAACGACGAACCTCGTCATGTGGATTTTTCCAACAAAAACCGCAATGTGGCCTTTCGGCACATCCGTCTGGTGCTTTGACTGCAACTTGAGAGCTTGCTTGGCATGAAGGATCACCGAAGGTAGATGGATACCCATTTTTGAACCCGAACCGAATTAAGAAGAAAAATTGTATTAATTTTTGGAGGTTGATGAAAGTGGGCTGTAGTTGGAAGGCTTATTTATAGGCAGTTGAAGGATTCACATGGGGATTGCCCAATGTTGCAGCATATTCATGTGACCAAGTGTTCTGAAAGAAAATATAAAACAATGTTCATGTGAGTCCCCCCATTGCTATCTCTATAATCTCATCAAATACGTCATGTAAGGTTGCCTAACATTTAGGGACCGAACAGGACGGAACGAGTTTCTTCATCCTAATTCGATGCACATAGAGACTCATCGACCACCATCCATTTGAATGAGCTTTTCTCTCATATTAAGTCTCCCTAAGATGGCCAACCAGACAATAAAAGTATGCTTTGGCACATGAAGCGGAAATCAAACCATCTTATGTAAGGAACCCTGTCCTTGTTGACCCTAATCTCTAACCACAATCCACGAGCGTTCATAGCATTCAGATTCGCAAGGGCAATTAAAAGAGGATGAGCCTCATCACGCATAGCAAGAAACTTTCTCGAACACCAACTCATAGACCCCTTGGGATCCACACACCAAAAATCCCTATCCTTCAAACATATACATGCATCCAATCAACCCATAAAGAGCCTTCATTTGTATGGATCTCCTTTATCAACAGAAAATGACAAATCTTGTTCCAACAGTCCAACTCCCTCAAATAAAGGCCTTCTTCATACTTAATGGTGCAGAAAAAATGCTAACCAACCTTAGCTTTAGTGGTAAGGGTATCCGAGCCCTTCTAGAAAACTGATCAATTCTTTTCATCTCAACTTTAAGGACGATAGATTGGATGCACCAGTAGTTGGTGATGCTGAACAAAACCGAACGAATCAGCTCCAAGTTACTAGCATAACTCAAGTTCATATTTAGCCCAATGGCCAAACTTCTTATTAACCTTAGCCAACAAACTATACCAACCCTTTCGGCTAATGTTCTAATAACCAAAGGCACCTCAAGTATCTAACGGGGAGAGTACCAAGCTTGAAGCCCAAGGACTCTCTTATAACATCCAAGTCCACCGAAAAGGTCCCAGAGACAAAGAGCTGACTTTTTTCTGCATTCAGGCGCAACCCAGACATATCTTAAAAGTTATCTAAGATACACTGGATACCAATAATGAATTCAATGGATCCCTTGAAGAAGGTGAAGAGGTCATCAACAAAGCAAAGATGTGTGAAATTAACCTTCTTACACTTCAGATGAAACTGAAAAACACCATTAGTAGAAACAATATCCACCACCTTTGATAAGACATCATTATCATAATAAACAAAAGGGGAGAAAGGATGTCACCTTGCTTAATCCCTCTTTCTCCATGAAAATAATCCATAAGACTCTCATTAAACGCAATAGAAAAGCGAACGATGATCAAGCAAACTCAGATGCATCTCTTAAATTTCTCGGGCAATCTCATAGCCTCCAACACAACCAAAATAAACTCAGTTCAAGCTGTCAAAAGCCTTCTGCAAATCTACCATTAAAGCACACCATGGAGATAAACACCTACGAGCATAACCTTTAACAATCTCTTGGCCCAGTGGTTGAGTTTCTTATTTCTCGATCAAAAATACTCCGAGTTAGAATCCCATAGGTTCTTTTTATTAGAGGATGACACGTGTCACATTCTGATTGATAATAAATAAATATATTAAAATATATTTTTAATCCTCCAATCGGACGGTGATACATAACTTGATCTGATTTGAGGGATAAACTTATTTTAATTTATTAGAATTAAAACCAAATTGATAACATATATACATAATAATGACCAAGTGTGTAATTATACCAATTTTATTTACTATCACGTCAACATTCCCGTCAAATGTTAACAGCAGATGGCTTGATTGAATGTACTTAAATAATTGAGACATATTATTGATAAAATTTAAAAAATAGTGGTCAAAGTGAAAAAGAACAATAGTTAGGTGGTGAATAGTATATTAACTAATTTAATTTTTTAAGTAAGATATCTTATCCACCAACAAAAAAACAGTGAAATAACTCTACTGCCACGATCGGAGAAAATTTCGAATCGGGATTATACGAAAGTTTCACAGACGAAAGTGAGCAGAGGCAACACCAACAAACTAATCTCAAGGAACTTCGTTAATAACTTTTATGGTTACAATATTTTTCTCTGCTTATGCTTTCTGTGTATAAGTGTTTAGAAAGTGAAAGTTTCTACCGTTACAAGTGTTATCACTTCATGTGTTCGAGCCATAATTGCCGTCAATTTTATCCATTTATAGTAATTTTGAATTTTAAAGAAATAAAAAATATATTTATAAAAAACCATAATTTTTCTTACATTACAAAAAAACCCTAAATCCCTAACCCGTAGACGTCGCCTTTTTCGGTCACGATCACCACCGTTGACGTAGTTTTGCCATCTTCTTAGTTATAGCCACCATAATTATCGTGATTAGCCGTCGGGATCACGTGAGGTAATAATTTTCAACCTAAGATTCGACTCAACTCGATCCGACATATATATATAATTACTATTTTTATTAGATAAAATAGGATGTAATTGAAAAAAATATAGAGAGAGGATTATTATAACAATTATCGTTAAATAGGTTGTGTTGGGTCAAGTAGAAAAAAATTTAACTCTAAATTCAACCCGGTTTAACCTAATTATTAAAAAAAAGAACTTAATCAAACTTAAACTCAAAATTTCAATAACAAAGTCGGATAAAATATCTATCGTTTTCGGATCGAATATACATCTCTAATCCCATCCTTGAACGAGATCATATATCTTAACTATCAACCTACTTGGTCAAAATATAATTTTGATATTTTATTGTACTCAAATTTAAGAATTTATCTATATATTTAATTTTTCATAATTTAATTTTCAATTTTTATAGTATCAGTAGTCAGTTTAAATGATTAACATCATTAACTACTATTGTAAAATATTGACATATACAAATATATTTTATAAAAAAACACCTCACCTAATGAAGACACAAAAATATATATGTACATGATAAATTGGACTGAGTGATGATATTAAAAAATATTGGAATTAAATTATGTAAAATTATAAGGACTAAATGCCTAACGTGAACATAGTTCAAGGACCAAAGACAAATTTGACATTTTCTTTTATCTTACAAAGAAAGTCACAGCCTATTAGCCTAAGAACAAACCCTTACAATCTTGGTTTTCGATGTTTGTCGACTCTGGTTGAAATCAATACATACCTAAAAATTCAAAATTATCATATATTTTATATGTTTTTATATATTTTTATTAAAAAATTATTTTCACCCTTTCAAATCTTATAAATTTAAGTTTGTCCCCTAAAATTTTAAAAATTTAAGTTAATCTTCTAATATAAAATTATGCATCCATCTCTGTGATCAAAACAAGACACTGATGGTTCTTGAGAAGAAACCAAACCTCACTTTGCTCACCTTGAGCTCCGACAAGTTTTGGTCTATTTTATGGCCGGAGAACAGAGTTGTAGATAGAGATGGATCGAAGGGGTTTGATAGAAACAGTAATTTTTCTTTGAAAATTTTAAATTATTATATAATTTAGATATTTTTGTTAACTAAAGTTTTATAAATTAATCTCTTAATATTTTATAAAATTTTCACAAAAATCTACATTTACATATCTTACATTCTACAAAGGAACAAAAATAATCTAATCAACGGAAAATATAAATCTGCAGGCTAAACAAAGCAACCATGCAACTGAGAAGTGAGATGGATGAAGACACGTTGGTCGCACGGAATCGTAAGACCGCCCATCGGGTGATCGAATCCGAACTCCTCCTCGACCCAATGGAGCAAATCAAGAAAGGAAGGATGGCTCAAGTACGAAATCGGAACGACAAACCTCGTCATGTGGATTTTTCCGACAAAAACCGCAATGTGGCCTTTCGGCACATCCGTCTGCTGCCTTGACTGCAACTTGAGAGCTTGCTTGGCATGAAGGATCACCGAAGGTAGATGGATACCCATTTTTGAACCCGAACCGAATTAAGAAGAAAAATTGTATTAAATTTTGGAGGTTGATGAAAGTGGGCTGTAGTTGGAAGGCTTATTTATAGGCAGTTGAAGGATTCACATGGGGATTGCCCGATGTTGCAGCATATTCATGTGACCAAGTGTTTTGAAAGAAACAATGTTCATGTGAGTCCCCCCATTGCTATCTCCATAATCTCATCAAATACGTCATGCAAGGTTGCCTAACATTTACGTCATGAGAGTTGAATATGGAAATGGCTAACTCTAAGACTCAACCGAAAAAACCAATTTTGAATAGCAATCCCATGCCCTTGTGAACTGTTCTTATAACCAATGTACTACAGTACTAATACGATTGCTGTACTAATAAGATTGCTGTGTACTAATACGATTGCTTTGAACTCAAAATCACACATTGTTAAGGCTATGAAAATTCTCCGAGCATCATCTCCTATGGAAACTATTTGCTTTACGAGAATTTTAATGCTAAGGCTAGTTTAAAACAGAGTCTTTCGTCTTCGGAGAACACGTCTCGGTGCCCAAAGGTCACTTGCTGTTTATGTTGGAGAAGCTGAGAAGAAGAGAATTGTTGTACCAATTTCATTCATCAACCATCCTTCCTTCCAGGTTTTATTGAGTTGAGGCGAAGAAGAGTACGGATTTGATCATCCTATGGGTGCTTTGACGATCCCTTGCACCGAAGAAGCTTTCGTCGATCTCATTGGCAGTCTGCAAAGCTAGTGAGAGTTGATATCAAAATGGCTAACACCTCAACTGACATATACACAGTTTTACATAGGAATTAGCAAGTGCAAATGGGTGGATTGCTTTCTGCAATCTCGTTCGATTGTGTACTTATTATTCTCTGTAACCATTGTGTTAAATGAAAATTTCTCTTATGGTCTGTGAATTATATATCATCAAACACATTAAATATGAATAAATATTTAATCAATCTGGCAACACTTTAAGTTTTTTTTGCAAGAACAGTATCCATTTGCTCTTGGATGGAACTTAAATGATTACTTATAAAGAAAATATCGAGTTCCAAACGATTTTATTTGTACACAGTCAACATTAGAAACAAGGTTGATGAGAACAATTGAGAAAACTTTGTCATTTCATATATTGGTTACAAAAAAGAATACTATTTAAGTTCACAAGGGAAGGGATTGCAAAAGCAATCCACCATTTGCACTTGTTAATTCCTAAACAAAATTGGTAACTGTCAGTTGAGGTTGAGTGTTAAACATTTTCATATCCATAGCTCTCATGAGATTTGTTGACGTCCAATATCAACGAAAGCTTCTTCTGTGCAAGGGATCGTTAGAGCACCCATAGGGTGATCAAATCCGTACTCTTCTTCGGTTTGACTCAACATATATTGGAAGGATGGTTGAGGAATGAAAGCGGCACAACAAATCTCTTCTTTTCAGCTTCTCCAACATAAACAGCAAAGTGGCCTTTCGGCCCGATACCATGGTCTCCGAAGATGAAAGATTCCGTTTTAGACTAGCCTTAGCATTAACAATTCTCGGCAACCAAAACCCATGGTTTTACAAGTTGAACTAGAAGGAAGAGAAGGTATTTTCAGATTTTAGACTTTTGGAACAGATTGGCTAACCCATAAATGGGTGTATTTATAGAGATACCAATATCTTTATGGTTTATAGCAATCATGTTGATTGAGTGGCCAAGAGAGCCCCTAAGGAAGATCTTTAAAGACATTGGCTATTAGGCATCACATGACCTTGTCTTCCAATGATGATGTAGCTTTAGACAAATTAGACCCATAGCGTTCTTGTGGCAATCTACAATGCCTTAAAATTCAATGAAACCAACAATGATGATCCATTTGCAACGAATATGATATCATTCAGTCATGTCCCGTTAGTGTGATAATGAGTTTTGCCCGGCAGATCACATGGATAAAACATTTTGATGCAAATAAGTAAAATGAGATTGGATACTGATCGTTTGAGTTGACTTGCTACCCTACATATGTTTGCTGCAGATTAGGCTTGAAGGCCAGAGCTGTTAGTTGATCCATATGATCTGCTAGGCAAAGTTATTATCAACACTAACAGGACATGATTCAATGATATCGGATTCATTGTGAATGGATCATTATTGTTGGTTTCACTGAATGTAAGGCATTGTTGATTGCCACAAGAACACAATGGTGGGGCTAATTTGTCAAAAACTAATTATCATTTGGAAGACAAGGCCATGTGATGTTTAATACCAAATGTCTTTAAAGATCTTCCTTAGGGGCTCTCTCTTGGCCTCTCAATCAACATGATTGCTATAAATGATAAGGCGATTGATCGCTCTATAAATACACTATGTATGATGGGCAGCCAACCTGTGCCAAAAGTTCTAAAAAACATATCTTTCTTCCGTCTAGTTCTACTTGTAAACCATGGGTTTTCGGTTGCCGAGAATATTAATGCTAAGGCTAGTCTAAAACAGAGTCTTTCATCTTCAGAGACCACGTTATCGGTGTCGAAAGGCCACTTTGCTGTTTATGTTGGAGAAGCTGAAAAGAAGAGATTTGTTGTGCCGATTTCATTCCTCAACCATCCTTCCTTCCAATATTTGTTGAGTCGAGCCGAAGAGAGTACGGATTTGATCACCCATGGGTGCTCTAACGATCCCTTGCTCCGAAGAAGCTTTCGTTGATCTGATTGGATGTCATCGAAGCTCATGAGAGCTACGAATATGGAAATGTCTAACATCAACCTCAATTGACAGATACCAATTTTGTTTGGGAATTAACAAGTGCAAATGGTGGATTGCTTTTTGCAATCCCATTCCCTTGTGAACTATTCTTTGTAACAAATATATTAAATGACGATTTTTCTTGGTTCTTCTCATCAATTCTTGTTTATAACGGTAGCTGTGTACTAATACAATTGTTTTGAACTCAAAATCACTTATTGTTAATGCTAAGGAAATTCTTCTAGCATCATCTCCTATGGCAACTGACGTTCCCAAGGGATACTCAAAGTTTACATGGGAGAAAACCACAAGAGATTTGTTTATACCAGTATCGTACTTGAACAACCTCATTTCAAGAGTTACAAAGTCTATATGAAGAAGAGTACGAATACGATCATCCGACGGACCGTCTGAGAATTCGAAGGCGTTTTACTTGATCCTACTTCTCGCTTGAACAGGATTGACATTTGATCAATGAATGCAGTATTCATTTTGTAAAGTGAACTATTGCTTCCGTGTACAACTTTTTTCCACCTCGTCTTTTTGCCTTGGGAGTAGGTGAACAAGTATCCTAAATCCTAAGTGGGAAAATAGAGGCGGATTTGTTGTGATTGCAACTACTTAATTCTTTGAAAATCACAATCCAATCTCATATATCTTCTTGAAATTTCTTGTTCCTCGCACCATGATAAACCCTGTCCTATCCTACGTGAATTACTCCAACAAATGTACAATCTCAATCACTGCTTATTTCTTGTGTTTAAGTTGTCGATACCTGCCTGTGACATTCATTCACTCATTTGTCTTGAGCCTAGGTAATTCATTTACAGTTAAATTGAAGATGAAATTAGCAAGAAGAATGAGACCACAGGAAGTTATGAAAAGAAATAAATTCCATTTGAATGATGTGTTTACAGTCATTTTCCATACTGGTTAATATAAGTTACAGTAATCACCATCTTTGATTTTCCTCCTAGAGAGACTTGTATGTATCTGCTCCCAAGGCAAAAAGTTTACATAGTTTTCGATGTTGCTTTACAAAATTGTTTTTTCTGATTTGTGTTAATTCTCTCACAATCAATTCAAGCGAGAGGTAACATCGAGAAAGGTGTCTTCGTTGCAGGGAATTGTGAGACCACCAGTAGGGTGAGTATATCCGAATTCTTCTTCTGACATGCCTAGCAAATCTTGAAACAAAGTTTGGTTCAAGAACGACACTGGTATCACAAATCTCTCTTGTTCTCACCAACATAAACTGCAAAGTAGCCCTGGGAACTTTCTTGGAGCTCATGATACGAGGCATGCGAATAGCCATTTTATTGTTTTCGATGGATGTATATAGGGGAGGACGGGGAGTATCTCAGAGAATTCAGAAAGAAAAGGTAAAGGATCTTAAGTACTTGAGAATGTGAAGGTAGGTGTTGCCAACGAACTTATTCATACTTGTATATATAGATGTAAGGGTCACAAGGAATTGTGGAATGAGTGGTGAAGGGGCAATTTATGGGGTCTGATCAGTAATGACAAGGCATAGTTTCATGAGCACATGGTTTGTCTTTCAATTTATTATCAAGATTCCAAGACTAAGACTTGAAAGACTAGTTTGCCTATCCTTTCGGGCCAAATAAACTGACTAAGGACCCACTAAAATATGGATGATTCGATCCTTAAAAAGCTTCTTCGTAGTTTGAGAGCTGTACTACTTTCCATTATTGTTAGAGGCGAGACATACAATGAAAAAACATGTAACATGGGTGACCTTGACATCCTATTGCAGACTGTCTTCACTAAAAAATGGAATAAAAAGTGAAAATTTTATTTTAAAAGTTGATTGTATTAGGTAGTTAATCTTCTAAGACAAACCCTTGTGAAGAGAACATAAGTGTGTCCTACAGGCTGCAACTAGTCCTTACTGGAGCCCAATTGGTTGCCTTTTATCCAGGTTGTTGTCTGTCCTGTGCTGCAATCAAATTGTTAAAGAGCGGAGAAACACAATAATAAGCCTTACAAAGTTACACTTCACTAAATTTATGGTATGTGTTGCTATACATATGGATAACATTACAGATGAACTTGTTTTCAGTCCAAATTTCTGATGGCATGTTTGCTGAGTTCTTTCCATGTATTGACTATTCATTTATTAAATACAAAGACTAATTCCGAACTGAGAAAAAAAAACTTACTTATAAAGTATATATTGGATAGTGGGAATCACAGGAGGAAATGGTAAATCCTACTCATTTACAGTTAGCTTGTAATATGAAGTAATTTTGGAACGAGGTGATTCATTTTCAGTTAAAGATGGGGAAAAAGTGTAGGCAAACTATTCTTTCAAGTCTTAGCCATGGAAAACACCACCATGTGATCCCAGAAATTGCCCCTTCACCATTCATTCCATATCCCCACTTAATAATGGATGAACATGATTTCCATTCTAGCCTATACATCTATATATATAAGCAAGAATAAGCTCATTGGCAACATCTACCTTCACATTGTCAAGTTCTTCTTTACCTTTGAATTGCACTTCTCTACGATCTTCCGTGTCTAACCTTTTATACATCCATCCAAACAACAATGGCTATCTGCCTGCCTTGTATTATGAGCTCTAAAAAAGTTCCCAAGGGTCACTTTACAGTTTATGTCGGAGAAAGCCAGAAGAGGTTTGTGCTACCAGTGTCTTGAACCAGCCCTTGTTTCAAGATTTGCTAGGCATGTCGGAGGAAGAGTTCGGATATAGTCATCCTACTGGCGGTGTCACAATTCCCTGCAACGAAGACCTCTTTGTCGATGTTACGTCTCATTTGAATTGATTGTGAGAGAATTAACACAAATCAGCATATACAATTTTGTAAAGCAAACATCTAACACAATGTAAACACTTTTCTCCCATCCTTTTTTCCCTTGGGGAGAAGATATAAGTCTAACCAAGTGGAAAATTAGATATGGTGTTTACTGTAACTTTTATTAATCAGCAAGGAAAAATGACATTTAGAAGCACATCATTATTTCTGAATTTCCTGTCTTTAATTTAACTGTGAATGATCTACCATGTTCCAAAATTACTTTATTCTGCAGACTTAAGTTATTTGGACTCTTCATTTTCTTTCGAATACTTGTATCCGTAACATAATTAAACATAAGAATAAATTAGTATGATCATAAAAATATATGGAAAAAAAACTTAGAAAAATTTGAGCACTCGTGTGCAATGTTCAAGCTCAATTCTGGGTAACTTAGAGACAACTCTTTCACTTAATTTAGGTTATTAAAATATCAGTTTCATTCATAACTTTGAAAGTAATATTCTTAATGCATACTTGACAAAGAATTGAGATTTGAGACAGTAAAGGCTAGTTCTGATTCACTCTTGGCTTTACCAGCTGCTTGTTATGGTTCAATGATTGAAATGAATAAAGGGAACATTGGAAGAAAATCAACAACTTCGAATAATTTAGCATGTAGTATGATGTAATTTTATAAAAAAGTAGATCGTTTACAGCTAACGATGGAATGAACATGAACAAAACCAAAATCTGAATATAAATTTCAAATGACTGATGTTCTTCAACTGTGATTATCCTCACTTATTGATAAAGTTACAGTAACAACCATCTCTAGTTTTCCACTTAGGGAGACTTATTTCTGCTCCCCAAGGTAAAAAGGATGGAAAAAGGTGTTCACATAGTATTAGATTTTGCTTTACAAAATTGTATGGGCTGGTTTGTGTTAATTCTCTCACAATCAATTCAAGCGAGAGGTAACATCGAGAAAGATGTCTTCCTTGCAGGGAATCGTGAGACCACCAGTAGGATGAGTATAGCCGAATTCTTCTTCTGACAGGCCAAGCAAATCTTGAAACAAAGGCTGGTTCAAGAACGATACTAGTATCACAAACCTCTTATGGCTTTCTCCCACATACACCGCAAAGTAACCCTTGGGAACTTTCTTAGAGCTAGCAATACGTGGTAGGCGAATAGCCATGGTTGATTTTGATAGATGTATGCTTCTAAAAGAGAAGAAGTGGAAGATCTCAGAGAGATTGGAAAGCAAAGGTAAGGACTTTTTGTACTTAAGAATGTGAAGATAAGTGTTGCCAATGAACGTACTCTTACTCGTATATATAGATGCATATCTACTATTAATGGGGGATGTGGAATGAGCGGTGAAGGAACAAGCGGGGTCCAAGCAGTAATGAGAAAGAGATGGATTCATGAGGGAATCACATGGTGTGTCTTTCAAAAGATTATCAAGAATTCCATGGTGAAGACTTGAAACTATAATTGCCTACTCCGTTCCGCAGTAGAATCGATTTTACAGGCAGCCTTAGAGACATATAGTCTGTTATAAATGACAGGAAACATGTAACATGGACGGCCTTGATCTATTATCTACATGCTGACTTCTCTAAAAACATGTAAATTGATGATCCTTTTATTTCTTTATATTAATCATTAACAGCAGTTGAACAGTAACAAGCAGATGGGAAAGACAGAGTCACTTGTAAATCAAAATTTATAACATGTTCCAGTCCAAAATCACAGTCATGTGTTCCTTCAATGAGTAACTTGTAAGACAAACCCTTGTGAAGAGTGCCTGAAGTGTCCTACATGCTTCAACTAGTCCTCATTAGAACCGAACTGGTTCGTTTTTATCCCGGTTTTTATAATGGTGGAGAAAGACTATATTAAGCCTTACTGCTCACTAAATTTCTGGTATGTGTTGCTATATACAGATTTTTCTAAGTTTGTTTTCATATATTTGAAATATCATACTAAGTTTCTCATGTTTAATTATGCTTTGAGTAATTGAATTCTAAAGAAAATGAAAAGTCAAAAAAGCTTAGAACGTAGAATAAAGTAATGTTTAGAACAAGGTAGATCATTTACTGTTAAGTTAAAGATGGGAAATTCTGAAAGAATGATGTGCTTCAAACTGTCATCTTTCCTTGCTGGTTAATTAAAGTTACAGTAATCACCACCTCTAGTGTTCCACTTAGGGAGACTTATATCTGCTCCCCAAGGCAAAAAGGATGGAAAAAAATGTTTACATTGTATTAGTGAAGTTTGCTTTACAAAATTACATTTGCTGATTTGTGCTAATTCTCTCACAATCAATTCAAGCGAGTGGTAACATCGACAAAGAGGTCTTCGTTGCAGGGAATTCTGAGACCACCAGTAGGATGAGTATATCCGAACTCTTCTTCTGTCATGCCTAGCAAATCTTGAAACAAAGGCTGGTTCAAATACGACACTGGTATCACAAATCTCTTCTGGTTCTCTCCAACATAAACTACAAAGTAACCCTTGGGAACTTTCTTGGAGCTCACGATACGAGGCAGGCGGATAGCCATTGTTGTTTTCGATGGATATATAAAAGGAAAGACAGGGATGATCTTAGAGAACTCGGAAAGCAAAGGTAATGATCTTAAGTACTTGAGACTGTGAAGGTAGGTGTTGCCAATGAACTTATTCTTACATGTATATATAGATGTATAGGGTATAGAGGAAATCATGCTAATCTATTATTAAGTGGGAGATGTGGAATGAGTGGTGAAGGGACAATTGCTGGGGTCTGGTCAGTATTGAGATAGGCACGGTTTCATGAGGATCACACGGTGTTGTCTTCCTATTCATTATCAATAATTCCATGGCTAAGACTTGAAAGAATAGTTTGCGTACCCCTTCCGGCAGAACAACCCATCCCAGGACCCATTCAAATACGGAAGATCTTCGGTCCATAAAAGTCTTCTACACAGTAGGAGATCTGTAACAATTTGCCATTGATGTTAGGGGCTACCTTAGAGACATACAATCTGTCATACAATGACAGGAACATGTAACATGGGTGACCTTGATCTCCTATTGCTAGGGGTTGGTGGATCTTGTAAGACAAACCCTTGTGAAGAGCACATGAAGTATGTCCTACAGTCTGCAAGTAGTCCTCACCACAACTCAATTGATTTCATTTTATCCCAGCTGTTGTCTATGTTGTGCAGCATTCAAGGACAATATTAAGCCTTACAGCTCACCAAATTTCTGGTAGGTGTTGCTATACATATGGATAACCTTACAGATGAACCTGTTTCGAGTCCAGATTTCTAATGGCACAATTGTTGAGTCCTCCACATATATAGACTATTCGATATTATCTGTAATGACTGATTCAAAACTGATTGCTAAATGATTAGGATAAAGGGAGATAATAGGTCAGGTCAAAAGGAAATTTGTTGTAATGCGTTGAAGTACAGATTTGATAGCATCTGATGTTGGTAGTTTCTCTTGGTCTTATCCCAAACTATTCATTCATCTGTATATTTTCTTACATATGAAAAAGAGTACTTGTAGTCTATGCTACCTGCACTTAAGTTTAGTATTGACGACGGAAGATCAAATTTCATTAAGATTTTCCTTATATTTGGAGGACTATACTTTATATCGTGTTTGAATTTGTCGGACGCATGTAATTTAAAGAAAATGAAGAGTCCAACTCAATACAACTTAGCATGCCGTATGGAGTGATTTCAGAACAAGGAAGATCATTTGACTGCTTCAAAGCATAGACAACAACCAGGATAAAAACGAAACAGTTCGGTTCTGATTAGGACTAGTTGTAGCCTGTAGGACACTTCAGGCACTCTTCACAAGGGTTTGTCTTACAAGTTACTCATTGAAGGAACACGACTGATTTTGCACTGGAACATGTTATAAATTTTGATTTACAAGTGACTCTGTCTTTCCCATCTGCTTGTTACTGTTCAACTGCTGTCAATGATTAATATAAAGAAATAAGGGATCATCAATTTACATGTTTTTAGAGAAGTCAGCATGTAGATAACAGATCAAGGTCGTCCATGTTACGTGTTTCCTGTCATTTATGACAGACTATATATTTCTAAGGCTGCCTGTAACGTCGATTCTACTGAGGGACGGAGTAGGCAATTATTGTTTCAAGTCTTCACCATGGAATTCTTGATAATCTTTTGGAAGACAACACCATGTGCTTCCCCTCATGAATCCATCTCTTTCTCATTACTGCTTGGACCCCAGCTTGTTCCTCGCTCATTCCACATCCCCCCATTAATAATAGATATGCATCTATATATTCAAGTAAGAGTAAGTTCATTGGCAACACTTATCTTCACATTCTCAAGTACAAAAGTCCTTACCTTTTCTTTCCAATCTCTCTGAGATATTCCACTTCTCTTTCAGAATCATACATCTATCAAAATCAACCATGGCTATTCGCCTACCACGTATTGCTAGCTGTAAGAAAGTTCCCAAGGGTTACTTTGCGGTATATGTGGGAGAAAGCCAGAAGAGGTTTGTGATACCAGTGTCGTTCTTGAACCAGCCTTTGTTTCAAGATTTGCTTGGCCTGTCAGAAGAAGAATTCGGCTATAATCATCCTACTGGCGGTCTCACGATTCCCTGCAACGAAGACCTCTTTGCCGATGTTACCTCTCGCTTGAACTGATTGTTGAGAGAATTATCACATTCACCTCATACAATTTTGTAAAGCAAAAACGTAAAACTATGTAAACACCTTTTTTCCCATCCTTTTTGCCTTGGGAGCAGAAATAAGTCTCCCTATATGGAAAACTAGAGATGGTGGTTACTGTAGCTTCCAATCAGTAAGGAAAATCATAGTGCAAAGCACATCAGTCGGTTGAAATTTTATTTCCATTCAGATTTTATTTTTGCTCATGTTCATTCCATCCGTAGTTTAACTGTAAATGATCTACCTTGTGCTAAAATTATTTCATACCACAAGCTAAGTTCATTTTCTATCGATGTCCCCTTCATTTATTTCAATCATTGAACCGTAACAAGCTGCTGGTAAAGGCAAGTGTAAATCAGAACTTATAACATGTGCGAATGCAGGATCACAGTCATGTGTTCCTTCAATGTGTATCTGGAACGACAAACCCTCTTGAAGAGAGCCTTTCCTGAACTGCGTCAAATATGCATTAAGAACATTACTTTGAAAGTTATGATCTTGAACACTGCATACGGATGCTCAAATTTTTTTAAGTTTACTTTTTTCATATATTTTTATGATCTTACTATTTTATTCTCATGTTTGATTATGTTACGGATACTTGTATTCGGAAGCAAATGAAGAATCCAAATAGCTTAGCTTGGAGAATAAAGTAATTTTCGAACATGGTAGATCATTCACTGTTAAATTAAACACAGGAAATTCCGAAAGAATGATGTGCTTCTAACTGTCATTTTTCCTTGCTGATTAATAAAAGTAAAAGTTCATTGGCAACACCTACCTCCATATTCTCAAGTACTTAATATCCTTATCTTTTCTTTCCGATCTCTCTAAGATCTTCTCCATCTTCCCTTTTATACATCCATCGAAAACAACAATGGCTATCCGCCTGCCTCGTATCGTGAACTCTAAGAAAGTTCCCAAGGGATACTTTGCGGTTTATGTTGGAGAAAGCCAGAAGAAGTCTGTGATACCAGTGTCCTTGAACCATCCTTTGTTTCAAGATTTGCTTGGCCTGTCGGAAGAAGAATTCGGATATAATCATCCTACTGGCGGTCTCACGATTCCCTGCAACGAAGACATCTTTCTCGATGTCACCTCTTGCTTGAATTGAATGTGAGAGAATTAACACAAATCAGCCTATACAATTTTGTAGAGCAAACAGCTAACACAATGTAAACACTTTTTTCCCCTTGGGTAGCAGATATAAGTCTACCCTAGTGGAAAATTAGAGATGGTGATTACTGTAACTTCTATCAGTATGGAAAATGACTGCAAACATTTCGTTCAATTGGAATTTATTTCTTTCCATAAATTTATGTGGTCCCATTCTTCTTGCTAATTTCATCTTTAACTGTAAATGAATTACCTTGCACCAAAATTACTTCATACTAAATGACTAGGATTTACCATTTCCTCTGGTGATTCCCACTGTCCAATATATGCTTTTATGAAATAGATCTTAAGAAGCCTTGCCTACAGTTTCACTCTAAGCAAATTGTCGAAGGGTGACAACAGCTAACAAAGACTACCTTTCTGTTTATGTTGGTGACCAATCCAAAAGACGTGGATTATAATTCCAGTTTCATTCTTAAAGCACCATTTATTTCGAGAACTGCAAAACCAGGCTGAAGATGAGTTTGGATTTGATCATCCAATGGTTGGTTTCACAATCTCATGTGCAGATGAAGCCTTCATTGAATTTGCTTGTAGTTTGAAAGGTCATGTGAGGCAACAGCACATGACCACAAATAGTGATGGTGATTAGTATAGAAAATAATAGCTTTCTAACTCTGTTGATGGAAAACAGTTAACTTAAACCGAAAACTCACTGAACAACCTGCCCTGTCTATATCTTTAAATAAAACCTTGTTGTCAGTTCGCTAAGCCATACATTCTTCGCTCGGAGCAATATTCAACACCCGAAGATGTCAGCAGTAATAGGATTCAGTTTCAGCTCAGCAACTGGAATGCAGGGTCACATTATCACTTCCCCATCCATTCCTTCATCCTATGTCTCATAGTTCTTTATAAAACCAGAGATCAATTTTTAGCCCCAGTGTATGGTCAAAGTGACTTGAACATGATCGCTGATGCTATCAAATATGTATTATAACACATTACACCTAATTTCCTTTTGACCTTACGTCTTATCTCCTCTTATGCCAATCATTTAGTGAAAAATTAACCTTTTTTTCTCAGCTCGGAATTATTCTTTGTATGTAATAATGAATAGTCAATACATGCGGGGAACAGAACAAACATGACATCAGAAATTTGGAATGAAAACGGGTTCATCTGTAAGGTTATCCGTATACATAACAGCATTTACCAGAAATGTGACGAGCTGTAAGGCTTAATATTGTGTTTCTGCCCCATTGAACAATTTGATTGCAGCACAGCATAGACAGCAACCTGGATAAAATGCAACCAATTGGGTTCCGGTAAGGACTAGTTGCAGCCTGTAGGACACACTTCATGTGCTCTTCAAAAGGGTTTGCCTAAGAAGATCCACCCCCTAATACAATCAACTTTTAATATAGAATTTTCATTTTTTTATTCCATTTCCTTTCAGTGAAGTCAGCCTGCAATGGGATGTCAAGGTCACCCATGTTACATGTTTATTGTCATTGTATGTCTCTAACGTTGCCTCTATCAATAATGGCGAAGTAGTACAGCTCTTCAAACTGTGAAGAAGTTTTTCAAGGGTCCAAATCATCCATATTTGAGTGGGTCCTTTGTCGGTTTGTTTTTCCGGAAAGGATAGGCAAACTAGTCTTTCAAGTCTTATCCATGGAACCTTGATAATGAATTGGAAGACAAGATCATGTGATCCTCATGAAACTAAGCTTTTCTCATTACTGATCAGGCCCCAGCAATTGCCCCTTCACCACTCATTTCCTTGTGACCCTTACATCTATATATACAAGAAAGAACAAGATCGTTGGCAACACCTACCTTCACATTCTCAAGTACTTGAGATCCTTACCTTTTCTTTCCGAGTTCTCTGAGATCTTCCCCATCTTCCCGTTTATTCATCCATCGAAAACAACAATGGCTATCCGCCTGCCTCGTATCGTGACCTCCAAGAAAGTTCCCAAGGGTTACTTTGCAGTTTATGTCGGTGAGAACCAGAAGAGATTTGTGATACCAGTGGCGTTCTTGAACCAGCCTTCATTTCAAGATTTGCTAGGCATGTCAGAAGAAGAGTTCGGATATACTCATCCTACCGGCGGTCTCAGAATTCCTTGCAACGAAGACATCTTTCTCGATGTTACCTCTCGCTTGAATTGATTGGGAGATAATTAGTCCAAACCATCACACAAAATTTTGTAAAGCAAACATCTAATACTATGTAAACACTTTTTCCCATCCTTTTTTCCTTGGGGAGAGGGAGAAGATACATACAATCTCCCTAAGAGGAAAATCAAAGATGGTGGTTACTGTAAATTCTATTAACCATTATGGAAAATGAAAGTAAACTCATCATTCATTTGGAATTTATTTATTTTTCATAATTTCCTGTGGTCTCATTCTTCTTGCTAGTTTCATCTTTAATTTAACTGTAAATGAATTACTTACCTTGGCTCACGACATATGAGTGCCTGAATGTCACATGCTAATGTCGACAAACTTATAAACACAAGAAATAAGTAGTGATTGAGTTGTACACTTTTTGGAGTAATTCATGTAGGATAGGACATGGTTTATCAGGGTGCCATGAGCCCATGAACAAGAAATTGCAAGAAAATTATATGAAATTGGATTGTGATTTTCAAAGAACTAATTAGTTGCAATTACTACAAATCCACCTCTAATTGTACACCGCAGCGATAGTGTTTGCTTTACAAAATGAAAGAACTGAATTCATTTATCAAATGTCAATCCCGTTCAAGCAAGAAATATGATCAACAAAAACGTCTTCACCACACGGAATTCTCAGACCGCCGGTCGGATGATTGTATCCGAACAACAGTTGCCATAGGAGATGATGCTGGAAGAATTTTCTTAGTATTAACAATGCGTGATTTTGAGTTCAAAACAATTGTGTTAGTACACAGCTACCATTATAAACAAGAATTGATGAGAATAACCAAGAAAAAATCGCCATTTAATACATTGGTTGCAAAGAATAGTTCACAAGAGAATGGGGTTGCAAAAAACAATCCACCATATGCACTTGCTAATTGCTATACAAAATTGATATCTGTCGGTTTGGTCTTAGTGTTGCCCATTTCTTATCCAACTCTCATGAGCTTTGTTCACATCCAATGAGATCAAAGAAAGCTTCTTCAGTGCAAGTTATCGTCAAAGCGCCCATAGGATGATCAAATCCGTACTCTTCTTCGGCTTGACTCAACAAATTTTGGAAGGAAAGATGGTCAAGGAATGAAATCGGCACAACAAATCTCTTCCTTTCAGCTTCTCCAACATACTCATAATAAATAAAAGATGAAAAAAATGGAATACTCGAATCGAAAAGTAGACGAAAGGGTGTAATACTCGACAAAAACTCAATCCAATCTTACCGTATTGATCCCCTTTTATCTAGGGATGGCAACTCAACCCGAATCCGATGGGTTCCGACCCGACCCGATTTGATCGGGTCGAATTTTTTTAAAAAAAATTCGGGTTCGGGTCGGGTCGGGTCGGGTTTAGGGTAAAAAAATCCGACCCGACCCGAAAAATATATATAATTTTATTTAATATATTTAGGGATAATTACAATAATATCCCTCCATATATAATTTTTTTCAATTAAGTCACTGTTTTCATTGAATTAAATTTTTTATTATTATTTCGGGTCGGGTCGGATCGGATTTCTAAGTCATATATTCGGGTCGGGTTTCTAAGTTTATATATTCGGGTCGGGTCGGGTCGGGTGAAACATTAATTTTATCGGGTCGGGTCGGGTCACGGGTGGAGAACCCTTTCTTCTCGGGTCGGGTCGAGTGGCCCAAAAACCCGACCCGACCCGACTCATTGCCATCCCTATCAAAATGAAACTTTTTATCAATGCTCCAATTTATTAATGCTTGTTGGAATGAGTGATGAAGAATTTTTATATTTTTAGAAAATGTATTTTAAATTCAACTTTTATGAAGAATAAGAAATAATGAAAGAAAGGTAACACTTGATTGATTCTTTTGGGTAAACTACAAGTTTAGTGTTTAAACTATCATATTTATTCTGTTTTAGCCTAAATTTTATTTTTTTTTAAACCATAACTAACGTTTAGATTAAATTTCAATTTAGTATCATACTGTTAAAAAATTAATGACACAGTGACCTGAAATTTACATTACAAGATGCGTGGAATATCAAAAAAGTAAAAATAATTCCACATCATCATTGTCGTTAAGTTTTTAATGACAAGGTACCAAATTAAAATCTAAACTAAACATTAGGTATAGTTTTGAAAAAAATATAGTTTAGATACTGAAATGGAACAAAAGTGATGGTTTAGGTAGCTTGTCATTTACCCATTTTTAAATATAATTGAATATGATGAAAATAAATCATAAAAGGACTCTCTTAAATAAATTTGCTTTTCTTAAAAACGAGCACACTTTGTACAGCTTGGGGGGGGGGGGACTTCACAGTTCTTGGGCCAAGTTAGAGTCACATTAAGAAGAAGAAAAACCCAGATTAATGGGTTCAAAATAGTAGAAAAATGAAAATAAAAAACCCAGAAGAATCGATGTTTAAAAATAAAAAAGGAAAAGCATAGCGCCATGCAATGCTGCTATATATGCTTCTCTCATCCATCTTCATCTACTCCAAAAGCCAACCCCCTTCACTCAACAAATCAATCGTTTGTTTTATGTTTCTGTTCATCGAAGCATGGAAGTGAGAGAGCGAAAAACGACTTCTTCACAAGGAATAGTGAGTCCCATGTAGTGGTCGAACCCGAACTCTTCCTCGGCTCGTCGGAGCAAGAACTGGAACTCTGGGTGAGTCAAGAACGAGATGGGAACAATGTACCTGCTCCTCTTTTCGCCGACGTAAACGGCGAAGTGGCCTTTCGGAACGTCGAGGGGGAGTCCGTCTTCGTCGTAGCCGCCTTGTTTCCTGCCCAGACTCGAGCATCGCTTGAGGATTTGCTTCAGAACGGCGGTCTGAGGGAGCTTGGATGATTTTCTGATCGCCATTGACGAGTTCTCTGAAGCAGGATGGGGAGGAGGGAGATGAAGGGAGTGCGGGAGGATTGAAGAAGGAGAAAGGGGGTGTCTATTTATGAAATTCAAAGTCATGTGAGAGTGTGGGGGCAGTGCTTAGGACAAGGGCAAGGCTATAGATTAGAATCATATTGTACCCCTTAATTGAAAAGAAAAATCGTTATTTTGGTTAATTCAAAAAGTGGGGTAAAATTAAATATTGGATCTAAGGATGGGTATAGGTCGAGTTGGGTCAAATTTTCGGTCCATCCAACCAGACCCGAAAATTATAAATCCTCCACCCGACCAAAAAAATATATGTCTTCTACCTGACTCGAACCCAACTTGAGTTTTTGAGATAAATCCGAATCGACACAACCGGAAATAATATATTTATTAAAAAAATATTTTTTTCCAAAAAAAGTAGGAATTTAATTGAAATAAAATAATATATAGAGAAATATTATTGCAAATATATCTAAATATATAAGGTAAAATTACAATTTTTTTGGGTCGAGTCATCTCTCTTTCGCCCTAAACTCAAACTTGAATTTTGACGTGATCTAATCATATAGAGTCTAGAGTTTTTCTGGAAATGCATGTTTCATCGAGTTCTAAATGTGTAAGGGCAGGTTGGTTCGATTTCAAGTTTAGGATAGAAATATCGATTTCGACCCAACATAGGATAAAAGTGTAATTTTCCTCTATATATTTAAGGATAACTGTTATAATACTCTTATATATATAGGGTAAATTATGTGCTTAGTACCTAAACTATCCGTTTTGATCTGTTTTAGTACGTAAATTTTCAATTTTTTCAAAAGCATACCTAAAATTTAGTTTTTATTTTATTTTAGTACATCAATGTTACAAACTTTAGTTTTTGTTTTATTTTAATATTCCGTCCAAAATTTAACGTTAAGTTTTGAAAATTTTGAAAGTTTAGATACTAAATCGGGCTAAAATTGATAGTTTATATACTCAACGCATTAGGTTTTTACGGCGGGATACTAAAATGAAAATTAAACGTTAGGTGTGGTTTTGAAAAAAAAATTGAAAATTTAAATACTAAAACGGACCAAACTGATAATTTATGTATTAAATGCGTAGTTTACCCATCTATCTCTCTCTATATATCAATTAGATACAGTTAAATCCTTATTTTATCAAATAAAAATAAGATCTTCTATATTCTGGACTATACGAGTTTTTACCCTAAAATTTAGATCGAGTTTCGGGGATCGCGTGTTGGATGAAAGTTATAGTAATCGGGTTGGGTTTGGGTCAACCAAAATACTGACCCGTTCAGACCCATTTTCATCCTATATATCATACATCTTCATTTTTTATAATAATTTTTTCTTAATCAAAAGAATTATGTTATAAACTTTTTAGATCATACCAAACTCTAACAAATTCTTAAGAAAAGAAGGGGTTAGATTACCACATTTTGAACATGTATTATATATATATATATATTAAACAAGAGCACATAAACAAATAAGGTCAGTAAAGATACTGAATAGTACTAGCAATTATACTGTTCAACGTTTGTATGTTGCTTTGTTTAGGATGTTAATCCCATTCCCCTATGTTTCTGTTAATAATAATAAGTTCATTGTTCAAAACAATCTTAATTAGATTCTCTTACAAGACGAAACAAAATGAAAATCCTGTCTCTCCTACTTTTCCCTACATGTGCCCCATGCATCTTATTACACTAAAAGTGTCATCTTTTAAAACCTAAAAGGAATTCTTAAATCTTGTAATACGTGGCATACACCTTTAATTAATCTACTAAAACCCTAAATCTCTCTCCTACCTGAAATCACGGACCGATGATGAGTTCACTGGAAAGTACAACAGGTTCTGTTGGTTTGAACATTTGGATCTTTGCGATTACCTTGTCTTCTGATTTTCCTGTCTGAAGGGCAGAAGAAACATAAACTCATGTGTTTTATTGCATGTGGTCCATCAAAATAAGAGCATATTTAGATAGTTGGTGCACTCCAAATATGCACCACTTATATCTTCCTAGGTCTGACCTAGTTCCATTTCAGACACAGAAAAAACCTTATATCCTCCATGTTCTATGGCTCATAAAGTGATAAAAAAAGGCCTAGATTTATTATTTATACGGCAATGTCCTTTATTTCATTTTCAACTCTCTTTTTGTTTTTCTCATGCTGGACCCTCGTACAATGATGGATCTTGATGGTAAATCGAGGGTTTAATCAACTTTTAGAGGTTTAATAAAATAAAAATAAAAAATAATGAGAATTTTGTAGAAAATACATGAGGGTCTAACTGAATTTTTCCAAAATTTTAGGTGGTTTAATGGAATTTTTTTAGTAACTCATCGGTTATCCGTTGTTATAACCGGATGAAGTGTTAGGTTATTTTAACGAAAGTTAAAGATTCAACTATTGATGTTATCGTAGGGCTGTAAATGAGACGATATAGCTCGTAAGCTACTCGAGATCGATTTATTTAAAGCTCGATAAATACTCGATTCGAGCTCAACTCGAGTTCTTAACGAGCCGAAACAAACTACTTGATACTCGACTCGAAAAGCTTGTGAACATCTCAAAAATATAATAGATTAAGATTTTATTTTTTTAAATAAATTATTAATAATATTAACATTTAAGTGTTGATTTTTTAAAATGCAGTATAAGGTTTTTCATATATTTAAGTTTCAAGTTCGAGTTTAAGTTTGAGGCTTTAATGGAGTTAAGTTTAAGATTTTTTTCCGAGCTTTTCCGAGCTTCAGTTCATTTAAGTGTTGATTTTTTAAAATGCAGTATAAGGTTTTTCATATATTTAAGTTTTAAGTTCGAGTTTAAGTTTGAGGCTTTAATGGAGTTAAGTTTAAGATTTTTTTCCGAGCTTTTACGAGCTTCAATTCATTATTTCGAATTTGAGTTGAGCTTGAAAATTTTAGGCTCACGAGTTTTTGAGTCGAGTCAAACTTCATTTCAAAGTTTTTGAGTCGAGTCGAGCTCGACTCAGGTCGTTTACAGTCTAATTATGGGTAAAGAAAATTATATAGTAAGAGTTGTCCTATAATAATTTTTTTTAGAATCGGATCAAATTAGTAGGTTAATAAATTAAATATCAATAATTTTAAAAAATAATAATTTTAAAGGTTTTAGTTAAAATCGTAAAGAACACAAATGGTCATCGATTATAGGGTATTCTTTTATTAAAGTCCGTCAACTATTAAAAATTACAAATTGATCATCTGACTATAGAGTGTTGCTTTGTTAAGTTACGAAATGATCACCTAACTATTCATTATGTTCCAAACTCATATTTTTCCGCTAAAAAATTGAAGGTAATATGAGCTAAATGTTAACCTGCTGACTGTGATATGATAAAACATTTCAGTAATCATGTTAACATCTAGCTCATACGATTATCAATTTTTTAAAGAAAAATAATGAGTTTAGAACATAATTAATAGTCATATGATTATTTAATAATTTTTAATAATCGATAGATTTAATAAAATAATTTTATATAATCATGATATCAATTGTACACTTTACCCTAATTAAAATATTCAACAAAGTATTGATAAATACTCGATCAATTAAATTAGAACGTTGAATTTAAAAGGTCAGGCCAACTGGAATGCAATATAGGTCAATTCCTCAACTGATTCCAAATCCATATCCAAAATCTTGCCTAATTAATCAGCTGAAAGCAAAGACCAAATCAAATCATAGTACTGACAGACAATCAGGCGTTGTTCTTTAAGACTAAGCTGCATGATTTACTGCGAAAATAAAGAACAACCAACCAGACATCAATCAGATCAGACCCCACAAGTCACCATCTACGTACGACAGCAACAACTGTATGTCCGTGAGGGAAAAAATGGATGAAAACCAACAACAAAAGACTTACCCACTGATCACCTAAATACAGTGTTTTCTTGTTCTTCTTTGATAGTTGAAAAAAGAAAATACATTGGCTTTCTTGTCTAGGACATGAACATATACTTACCCTACATTTATGTTAATAAAATCAAATTTGAATTTATAAAATTCTAAAAGAACAACTTGAATTTATAAAATTATTGAAGACGAAAATAAATTATTAATAAAAAATTTAAAATATATGATCATTTTCGTCCCTCAGTCAATCCCCAGAAATGAAGACAATGTTACTCGGGTGCCATGAACATGTATTGTGAAGACAACGTAGTAAGGTCTAGGGTTCAACAACGAATTCGAGAAAATCAAAAATTCGATTTAAAAAAACCAATAGACCATTCTATTCGGTTTGAATTTTTTCATATGCAAACCGTATGAACCGAATCAAAATCGAATTAATAAAATAAGGATCGAAAACAAATTTATTTTGAATTTATTATAGGACAAATTGAAATAAATAAAATCTTAAACTTAATAATACTTTTTATGAATTTAAATTTATATATTTGCACTCAATTTAAACTTTAAATTTAATTTTTTTTCGGAGATTGAGTTTGAAAAATAAGAATTCGATTTTGATTTCACTTTTTAAAAACTCGCAAAATATGATTTGATTTATTTTTAATAAAAAACTAAATCAAACCAAACATTATCTTAAAATATGATTTCACTTTAAATTAATAATATTTTCAGTTAGATGTAACTTAAATTATTAATTTTTAAACATTATTTTGTTGAACTGAAAATATTATAAAAAAATGTATTGTTTTCACTAGCCGACAAAAAATGTTATAAAGAAGATTTGTAACTAAAAAAATTAAGGAAAAAATAACATTTTAGATTACTTCCAACCGAAAATATTATGTTTTTTTTTTACATTTTCGGTCACGTTTGTCCTTAGTCTTAAACTAGACTTGTCTTTCGTTAGACTCTCTCATAGGTATGAGTATGATATAAATACCTTTTAAATTAGGGATAGATGCAATATTTGAAATACACGAATTTTACTCTGATCTGATTTTGTTATTTATTTTCTTTGAAAGAAAATGAGACCTCGTTAAAAATTCATCTCGTTAAAGCCTTGTTTCATAATCGACATTTTAATTGAGATCTAAACGTGGAAGAACAGAAGAACAAAAAAAGAGTATTCATATTTTTTTGTAAAATTTTAGATTCATATCGGATTGAATTAGATATTTTAAAAGTAATAATATTAGGTCAAATTGATTCAAGTTTAAGATAAAAAAATATAAGACATGAGATAATAATATAATTATTTCATATATATTTAAAGATGATTATAATAATATCTTTTCCTATGTTTTACGTAATAAAAATGAGAACCATATATATACTTGTGTCAAGTCGAATCGAATTGAGTACAAAAAATCAAGTTAAATTTCGAGTCATGAAATCTTCCTAAACCTGAATCAAAGATGGTAACAAGCGAAAATGTTTATCCCTGTTTCAAATACCTGAAAATAGTGGAAAAGGTTGAAGATAATTACCAACCAGATAAAAACTAGAGTAAAATATACGTTTAGTACTTAAACTATTAATTTTGATCCATTTTAGTAACTAATCTTTTATTTTTTTTTTCAAAATCATGCCTAAAATTTATTTTTATTTCATTTTAATAACCTTGTTAAAATTCAACGTGAAATTTTTAAAGAAATTGAAAATTTAGGTACTAAATCATATCAAAACTAATAGTTTAAGTACCAAATGCATAATTTACCCTAAAAACTATAACATTAGACGAAACCTCAAATTTAGTAAAAATATTATAAAAAATTAGTTCGATTCGATTAATTATTTTTGCAAGTCCAGCTTCAATTCATAGTTAAGCCAACTGATATAACAAACCGGACTCGTTGAGCTCGTTAAGCCAATGTTAGTGCAACAAATAATGTCAACTTAATGCTTACATTCCAATATAATTATCTACTATAAGTAAAAGCTATGATTACAGATGATGTATGATTGTTTATATATATATATATATATATATATATATATATTCCGTGATCCAAGATGGATACCCGAACCACTACACTCCGGGACTCGTTGAGCTCGAAGTTAGAAAACCAATGAATGGATGCTGATGAAGAGGACATGAAATAATAACATAATGAAATAGGCATAGTGACTCGTCAACTCTTCGAGAAGTAACGAGCTACTTGTTCAACTCAGATTTTGTCATCGTGTTCCCGTTCTGCTGTTGGAATTGCGGCTGCTGGTGGTGGAAATGATGGGGAATGTTTAGCTGGGAAGATTGCTGCTGGTGTAGCTGGAACATCTGGTGGTTAACAGGAAGCTGCTGTGAAACCATCCCCTTGGACGGATTGGAATCACCGCCTAGCTCTCGAGTAGAAAGCTTTAGCCGCCGGACCTCGGCAGTTAAGGTTTCATTGAGAGCTGTCCAAATGCAACACAACAAGGGTCGAGTTATTGAGGTATAAAAATTCACCGATAAATGAATACGACGAATATGCAAACCACAACCTTCACCTCTGAGACAGGCTAAACATAAAGTTCAGCAGGTTTAATTGTTCCCGTGTACGAGACACCGTGGAACAGAGGTAACATGTTTATTTTATTAGACGAGTACCGATCGAACGTGTTAATAGAACTATACAAACACGTATAATATCCGTTGCCGGATATTTTGCCTTATCAATGCACTATGATTTTAGGTACAAACCATACATTTCCTATACAAGATAAGAATATCTTAGATACTTGCACGCGTATAAATGTCTTAAGAATATCTTGTTCTCACTTCTCCATAAAAGTAGATGGATAGTTGCAGTAAACAGATACGTTTCGGCCAAAAGAAGAGGAATAAAAGTTCTAACAAAATGAAAATCGGATTATACCATCACGAAGTTGTGCCTGTTGCTCCATGGCCTGAATACGAAACTTCAACTCGTTGTTCTGGTTTGTGAGCCCGGCAGAATCTCTCTGCGTTGATTTAAAGTTGAGGATGAGAAAAAGAAAAGTAGGAAATAAAACTATAACATTGTGAGCTCTAAATTTTCTACCTGTAGAAGTGTTAGTTGAGCAGACAATGTGGTAGCTTCGGTCTGCAGAGTCTGAACCTTGTGCTCCAACTCCGAAATGTAACGCATCTTCCTTTCTTTGGAACGGGCAGCTGATTGGCGATTAGCCAAAATCCTTAAAAGATCAACCGATTAGTTAAGTGCATTGCTTTATAATCATCAAAGTTATTACAGACTTGAAAAGTATGATACCTCTTTGCACGCTTCGGATCAGTCATTGCAATCTCTGCAAGCTTCTCGTTTGCCATAATTTTCTTCATTTCAGCCTCACTGAACTCACCACTTCCGAGCTCCAAACTAAAGGAAGCTGAATTTCCGTCAATTGAATTGCTTGGTGAGAGTTGTCCAGAACGAGTTCCGGTTGAAGGTAGTAGTTTCGGCGACTCATCACCAAAGTTCAACTTCCCCATGAAACTATCCATGGAAACACTTCTAAAATGTCTAGAAGAAAGAGCAATGTCTCCTCCTGCACTCCTTTTGATCCCTTCCCTCTTCTCAGATGAATTCATTCCACCTCGTGATGCACTATTCCCACTCTCGTTCGCACTGCTTTCCGTCTCATTATCGCTGCTATCACCTCCATTGGTCTTTGTTCCACTTGCTCTGCTGTCCAAATCTTCATGATGACCATTGTTCTTATCATCAGAAGAATTCAAGGAATCAATGTTATCCAAATTCATATATGCAGAAAACAAATCATCCACAACTTCCCCTTCCGATTTCCTCTCACCTATTCCTACCGCATTGCCATCATTACCTCTTTCCCAGCTCGTTTCCTTTTTCACCAACTGAGCTGGGCCAGCTGGCCTAGGCGCACCCGAATTTTCCATACCCAACAGAGATCGCTCCAAACCACCACCCCTTTCTGGAACAAGTGGCGGCGGCAAAGGTTGCATTATCGTATTAAACTGAAACGGAATATCACTATTGGACCGCCTATGTTTATTTCGTGGAGGCAAACTTTCTCCGACCCGTGGAGAACTCCCCTTGGAAAAAGGAGAGGGCGGCAACAAAGAATGCAAAGCAACATCCCGGTCTTCCATTGACAAATCAGTGATCTGGTCCGAAACTGCCATATACGAAGAATTGCGAGATGGGACAGGGCTCAAAGGGGGCAATGAATCAAACGAAAAGAAGGAAGAGGGCTGCGACAAAGACCGGGAATGAGTCGGTCCCGGACTAAAACTCTGAGAACCAATTTGCTGGTTCGAAGGACGGGACATGGCGATCTGCGAATAAGGCGAAATGGGTGGGATCTGGTTAGGGTGTGAAGGAGGGATTCCAACTCTTTTATTAGTACCATCACCGCCGCCGCCGCCGCCGCCACTACCACTATAGTTTTGGCCAAATTGAGAGAAATGCCTAGCAGTCCTCATTTGATTAGGATTCAACTGAGGGATTTCAAGATGATTCATTGATAAAGGTTGCTTAGGGATTGAAGATGATGAAGTTCCAAATGAAGATTTAATCCTATGCATCACATCAGTATTACCTTCGTCACTATCACCCATTTTTTCCTACCAATAATATAATTACAAAAAACATGAATATCATACCAAAAAATCTCAAAAGAAGATAAACACTTAGCCAATTCAAGCTCAACCCCATTTCAGTCCAAACCAAAACAGCAACAATACAACAAACTAAAACCCAGAAACAAAATGACAAAAGTAAAGTAGAAATCAACCGAAATTAAAACAAGGTAACAGTAAATGAAGATGGGCAAAGAAACCCATTGAGATCATTTAGTAGTGTGTTACAAGTACCTAGTAAAAATATGCAGGATCAAAGCAAAAGGAGATTAACAAAGAACAAGCAGGTGGAAATTAGGAAGGTGGCACCTCCACAGCTAAAATCTCTGCCAAATTTAGCGGCAGGCGCTTTCGTTTTCACACATACACTTCTCCCTCCTTGTTTCTCAGATCCTAAATCATAAGATCATTAAAAAAATGGAGAATTAAAATAAAAGGGATAAAGGGTTTATGTGATTGTGATTTGTGCTTTCTCACTCTACAAACTTTGACAGGAAGAAGAAAACATGCTTTTCTGTTTTTTGTTTCTAACTGTAGAAAAACGAAATACCCTTTTTAGGGGGAGATTTGGGCGTTTTACCCCAAAATCACTCTAATAATTAAATATTACTGTTCAGGCATCAATTGTCCAAATATTACCGTTCTAACACCTTTCTAACATAGTGTTAATAAAGCGCATATCAAGAAACGTGCCTTGCACGTGGAATTAAGGCGAGGATTATAAAACGTGCATTCTAGGAGTTCTGTCCTAACTGGCTTCACGGTGAAAAGGCATGGATCACCAGTCGCACCTTCGTAAGGTAATCTAACACGCGCAGAAAGACGCAGATCGTGAAGCACATCTTCTATTATTCCCTTTCAATTATTTCCCCTTCTATTATTACCCCAAATATGAGTTGTAAATCCCAGTCAATCTCCTATACCTTTTTTATAAATTCCGTTGAATCCAAATATTAAATCACACTAAAATTACTTTCATATTCTTCTATCAAGCTAAATAGATTTTATTATAGTTTTTAAACGTAAAACAATTTTTTATTAGATTATATTTATTTCATATTTAATTATTTGATCAAATTTTATTACACTAATTATTTTTTTATTACTTTTCACGATTGTAAATTGGAAGATGATATCATATTGTGAGATATTTTGCCGATACGGTAACAATATTAATTTTTTATTTAAAATATTGTGAATATCTTTTAATTATTTTTAATATTAATTTATATTTTAATTTGTATATTATTTATTTAATTAAGAGAATACTCGTATATTATAAACAATTATTTATTTTTTACAGATATAAAACTCTCAATCTTTCAAACTCTCAAAATGAGGTTATTTCAACTATTGTTTATTATGATAAAGAAATTCAAAAAGATAAAACCGATGTTGTCTTCACATCAAATTATTTTGTTACCTTATTATTTAAGAGAAACATCATTCTTGAAGAGCTGATAACTAAAATTTTAAGGAATGTTCATGTTGGAAGTACTAGAAGATTGTTCTCACTTCAGTACAGATTTCCAACTGCACTATTTTCGTTAACTTATACAGTTTTTGAACTCTCAAACGATGATGATATTGCTATGACGGTTGATGCTCAGAATCAAAATTCAAACGTTGTTACGCATATGTATGTCACATTTGTTGAAGTGTATGCGGTTCAAGGTTACAATGCTCTTAATATTTTGCTATGTAACCAAATCCAACCTCAGATATATACGGCCAAACACGACTCGATATCTCTAACTTAGCGTTACGAATAAATGGATATAATATATGGTCATTCTCCTAATTAAATAAATAATATACGAATTAAAATATAAACTAATACTAAAAAATAAGTAAATAAAACATTCACAATAATTAAAATAACAAAATTTCAAATTGTTATCGTATTGACAAAATGACTCAAGATGTGATTCCCATCTAAATGCAATAACCTTCTATTTTATGACTACAGAAAGTAAAAAAATAATATAATAAAATATAATAAAATAATAAACTATTAAATGTTATAATATAATAAAAAATTACATTCTAAAAATGATTACAAAACCTACTTGAAGTTTAATAGAAAGATTGATAAAAGGAATAATGAGAGAATTTTTAGTGTGGTTAAAGAGTTGTATGAAGGGGGTATTTATAGGGGGACGGACGATATTAAAGGGGTAGATGATAATTAAGAGGGACGGACGGACGGTTGGGTGGTATTAAAGCGGTATTTATGGAAGAAGCGACTCATGATTCGAGCCTTCCCCGTGTCAGAAAAACCTACGAAGACACGCTTCATGGTCCGTGCTTTTCCACGTGACGCCAACTCGGGCAGATCCTCTGGAAGGTGCGCCTTCCGTCCATGTCTGCAAGGCGTGTCTCCTGCTACACGCTTTATTGCCACTTTGTCAGAAAGATATTAGATCCGTAATATTTGGAGAAAAATAATGTATAACATATAATTATTTATTATTAGATGGTATTTGGGTAAAACGCAAAGATTTGGGGTTTATAAAAAGATGGGTTTTCATGAGATACACGTCATTTAAATAATCTTAACGCGTGAAATTTGTATTTGGGGTTTGCATTTCACTTTGATTTAGACCTCATTTCACATATTCTTTTTTGGATAAACAACGTATTTAGCATCTAAATGATTAATTTTGATTTGTTTTAATATCTATTTTTTTTAAATCATACCTAAACAAAAACTAAAGTTTTTTAACGGCGGATACTAAAATAAAAAAAACTATACTTTAAGTATGGTTTTGAAAAAAATTGAATGTTTAGATACTAAAACAGACCAAAACTAATAGTTTAAATACTAAATGCGTAATTTACCCTTTATCAACTCTAATTGTTAAAACTTATGATCTTTTGAACTTGATATGCATTTAGTACCTAAATTTCAATTTTTTCAAAACTTGACGTTGAATTTTGAACGAGAGTACTAAAATGAAACAAAAACTAAAGGTTTTAATGGCGGGTACTAAGATAAAACAAAACCTAAACTTTTAAGTATGCTTTTGAAAGAAAATTAAAGTTATGTACTAAAATGAATCAAAGTTGATAGTTTAAGTACTAAATACGTAATTTACCCTTTTAAGCAATATGTTTTCCTTTTAAAAAAGAATAATCGTTTCCGGATTTCTTTAAATTTGAATATTAGTTTGATTCGATTTGACCGATGCACACAAATTAGGCAATGCACGCCTGTTTTGAAAATGCTAATCTTTACAATATTCAATGTCAAGTTTGTTAGATAAGCCGTGTAAGAACATGCAATGAACTTGCATTAAAATCTATGAATGCTTAGAAGCAATCTCACACAAATTACAAATAACATATAATATATAAATATAGGAAAATTATAACGCCGGACGAGGAGCGATGAACACAACTAACGACAATAACCATTAATTTAATTTATAAAAATTTAAATTCTAAATGATTCAACGTATAACTATAAATAAGTTAAAAATTTAAAGATAAATTATTTAAAATAAAATGTAACATATACCACTGACCACCTAATTATTGATATTTTTATTTTGACTAATATTTTTGAAATTTTGTCAATCAGGTAACTCGGCTATTTAAATGCGTTCAATTAAGCCACTTGTCGTTAATATTTAACATAGAAGTTGATGTGGCAGTTAAAATATTTGGTATAAATACACATTTGGTCACTATTACTTATATATTCTATCAATTTGGTCCTAATTTTAATAAATTAAAATAAACTTAATCCTTTATTTTAAAGGGCGATAAATTTAGTTTGCTTTAAATTTAATATCATAAATTATTGCTTGAGTTATTCAATTTTTTAGAAAAAGGTTTTGTTATAAATTTTATTTTGTTATAAATACAGAATATGTTGTAACTTTTAAAATTAAAATAAAAAGTTGAATTTTGGTTCATTATACATGGCAACATTTAATTTGAGGGTTAAATTTATTTCAATTTATTAAAATTAGGATCAAATTGATATAATATATAAGTAACAATTACCAAATGTGTAATTATATCAAATATTTTAACTGCCACATCAACTTCTCCGTTAAATAGTAACGGCAAGTGGCTTAATTGAATGCATTTAAATAGTTGAGTGACATGATTGCATAATTTCAAAAATATTGGTCAAAATGAAAAGAGGCAATAGTTAGGTGGTCACTGGTGTAGTTTACCCTTTATTTTAAATAATTATCTTTAAATTTTTAACTAATTTATTATTATACGTTGAGTCATTTAGAATTTAAATATAAATTAAATTAATAGTACTCGTCGTTATTGGTACTCATCGCTGCTCATCGAGAGTAGAAAAATCATCCTATAAATATATATATCATTATTAGAGATAGACATTCAATTCAAATTCAATAGATTTTGACTTTATCTAATCTTATAAATCCGTTTCTTTAAAAAAAAAATAGGTTCTAGTCTAATTTTCTAAAAGTAGGTTCATGTCAGACTTCCGATGAAAAATATTTGATCTGAATAAAAAACAATAGTATAATTGAACTTTATATATTTAAGGATAACTTATATTACTTTTATCTCTATATTTTTTAATTAAATCTATATTTTACCTAATAAAAATAAGAATTATATATACATATATATATATTGGGTCGAGACTAGTATGAGTTTCTACCTTAAAAATTGAATCGGATGTAACTTTTATAAACTCAAGTCGTATCTAGGGATGGCAACGGGCCGGGTATTGGTCCCCCTGTCCCCGTTTTAGAAACCCGTCCCTACTTAAAAAACCACGGAAATTTAAATGGGGATCCCCATCGGGTAATCGGGAAAAACCGCGTGGAAACGAGTTTCCCCGTTTAGCATAAACGGTTATTTAAATGCGTATCGCGCCGGGTATCGAGCCATATATATATATATATATAAATTAAATTAAATATATAAATATTATATATATATTAATTTAAATTAAATTTATTAATAATATATATATATATATATAATTAATTATTTTTAATATTTATCGGGCCGGGTAATCGAGGCGGAGATTACCAAACTCGTCCCTGTCCTGTCCCTGTTTAGCATAAACGATTTTTTCCCGTCTCCATCCCCGTTTATCATCCTCAAACCCGACCCGTTTAATTCGGTTTTCCCCATCGGGTTCAGGTTTTTTTATCATCCCTAATCGTACCAGATATCAAATAAAAAATATTATAATCAAATTCGAATGGATAAAAACTCTATTGATATTTTATTTCTTAATTTAAACATTTGATCCATACTAATTAATGCTAAGGCCCACCAGACCCAAACTTATACTACTTTTAAAAGCAATCCCTATCTTAATCTTGCTTTAGATATATTATTTCTAGTAAATAATGTTCTGAAATACATATATCATTGACCCTGGTTCTAAGCTACCAACAGACAGACAGGTACATGCAGTTGACACCAAACCAACATATATTGGTTATGATTAACTGAAATATTCCACAAATTATATATTTTTTTTCCTACAATAATAACGTCTTAATTTGACCCCAAAAAATGAAGATAACGTATGTTGTCATCAAATCATGTCCAGATTGTTGTAGTAAGTTGTTAAAGAGTTAATTGCATTATACGTCTTCAACTATGGTTCTTGTTCTAAATATGTCCCTAAACTTTTGAACATTTTAGTTTCATCCTTAAGCTGTGATTATCGTTCTAAATTAGTCCTCATACTTTTGAACATTTTAGTTTCATCCCAAACTATATCCTTCATTCTAAATTGGTACCCCCAAAATTTTAAACATTTCAATTTCATCCGAAATTATATGCATATACTAATCACATTCAATGTTAATAATATCATTAGGTCAAGTTATAATTATTATATGTTTTAAAAAAATTTAGGTTAAATTATGGTTAAAGTTAATTACATATTTGGATGAATTGGAGGATAAATTGGAAGCTTTAAAGGTTTAGGGACTAGTTTAGAATAAGGATTATAGTTTAAGGGTGAAATTGGAATATTCAAGAGTTTAATGACTAATTTATAATGAGTATCATAGTTTGAAGATGAAATTAGAATACTCAAAAGTTTAAAGAACAATTTAAAATAAAAATCATGGTTTGAAGACATAGGGTACAATTAACTCGTTAAATTATTACTTAGTTATATATACTTATTTCACAAGAAATTACTCTCATCAAAAGAAAATTTATACGATGAAATATATAATGTTTTAAACTTTTATTATATTACTTTTTGTTTTATAGGAGAGTAGTCATCTTTTTAAGGCATGATATTTTTTATATTTGATTTTGTAATATTTTCGTTAATATTATATATCATAAGATAATTATTATATTCCTAAAATTGTTTCCCTGCCACTCAAAGACGCAATATTTAATATAAAATATTATTACAGAGTTTTTATATAATAAAATTATTCTATCAATCCATCATTATATTCTAATTCTGATCATATATATTTTTAAAATAACTTCTAATTTGATTCCAATAATTATGTAATTTTTTAAAAATTGAATCGCGTATCTATTAGGGATGTTCATTCGGTTAATTAAATTAATTGGACCGAATTTTTTAGGAAAAAATAACTGAACTGAATCAACCAAAATTTTTAAATATTCTTTTAGTTAGATTAGTTTGAGTTTAGTAGATTATTTTTTATTTGAGTTCAAATTTAATTAGATATTGATAATTTAATATTTTGGTCTTAAATTTTAATGAATTTGAGCTTAAATATGTATTTAATATATATATATATATATTATAAACTTAATATTTTTAGTTAATTTGATTAATTAACGTATTTCGAATCGAATTAATCGTTAACCGAATATTGAAAAAAATTAACCATTCCCCGACCAAACTAATTCGGTGGTCGATCGAATTAACTGAACTAATTTCATTCAATCGGTTAATTCGGTTAAAACCAAAAAATGAACACCCCTACTATCTATAGTACGCATAAGTTATATATATTTATAGAATCAACTAATTTGATTCAAACTAGGAAATATCTCAAATTATATAATCAACTAATTTTATTCAAAATGAAAACCCCTACTATCTATAGTACGCAAATCAGACTCGAGCCTTAAAAAGCCATCCAAGAACGCAAATTGAGTATCTAAATCCAATATGAGTGTCTAAAGTAGAGAAGATCAACAAGATATTAGATAAACGTCATCTCAATCTATAGTGGTGATATCAAATCAACCCTTAGAAAAATATAAATGAAGAAAACGATCAAACATCTGAAAACATGCCAAAAGACAGACGAAAATGTGTCATACAGACATACTTGTTGAAAATAAAAAAATAAAAGAAAATAGAAATACAATATAAAAAAATAAAAAAATAAAAAATTTATACGCTCAATAACTAATATTAAATTTGATGTTTTTACTGATCAACAAAGACAAAAAAAAACACACACACCAACAAGAAAAAACTTGTTTTACTATATATGAATTATTTACAAGTAAACTTTTACTTAGAGTCTTAGTTTATATTCTATCAATTTATTATATTGTTTATATATCAGTTAGATACTTAGATCGAGGTTAAAATGGAGCTATAATATGTATCAATTATGAATTTAGTTCATATTTTTTTTATGTCAAATCAAACGTGGAATCCAAGGTTAGTGGATTTTCCTGTATTTGTCCAAATTACATTGCTGAAAAACATCGCTTGTCTCCTAAGTTAAATTTCTTTAAGACATTCATCTTAAGATTGATTGTTTAATTCATAATGATTAATCGCTGAATGATTTAAATATTGAATGATTAAATACCGAATGATTCAAATACTGAATGATTTAGATGCTCTGAATGGTTTGGCTCTGAATATGACATACTATTTGATAACTGACTCTGAATGATTCAGAATGTACTTCTGTGCTGAATCATTCAGCACTGTTTTGTTGAATCAGTCGACACTGAATCATTCAGAGGTACGAAACAAATACGTTGAATGCTGAACAACGTTGAATAATTCCATTAAGAGACAAACAAACAACCCACATTAATAGTAAAACAAATCAAACGCAAGATTTTACACGTTTCCTCGAACAGCAAAGCGGCTCAAATCCATTAATTATCTTTAATGTTGTAAAAAAATTGTGCTTGTCTAAATGCAAATTATTATTAAAATTTTCAAATAATTTGGAATGATTTTTAAAAAAACAGATAATTGTTTAAATATAATTACAAAACAATCATTATATTTTTATCAAATTATTTTGAAATTATCAATAAAATTACCAAACTCTTATAATGATTCACCTCTCACGTTTCAGAACACTAAATAGTGAACCACGATATTTAGGACGAAAGTCCAAAAAGTTTGGGGTCCAATAATGTTCCACTAAACATGCATTAACTTCCTTTATTATATATTTAATACGGGACACGAACCGATCTACATCTGTAAAGAAGATGTTATATATTGAGGTATTGAGTTTGAGTATCCGAACTATTAGAGGTGTGAGCGTTTAATGTCAAATGGTTGAGAGTTATCTTTGAACAAATGCTAGATTGTAATTACCTAAGATTAATAAAAAATGGTTAAATACATGATTGGTCACTTTCATTTATGTTTTGTTCATTTTTTCTCATTGATTCTAAAAAAACATAATATTTGTTGTTATTTAATTAAGGTACGGTTATTGATGGTTAACTACCATTAGACCTAATGTTAATGTGATACGTTAGTAAAATGGTTTTATTTTTATTTAATCCCTTGACTTTAAATAAAAATTCAATTTAATCATTTTTATTATGTTTTTCTTTCCAATCCCTAGCTTCCCCACTTGCGTCGCGTTTCTTGGTGTTCATCTTCTCCATCACCGGCTGTGCCAACGGCTGTCTTCCAATCGGGCTTGTCAAATAAATAAATGTAATGTATTGTTTCAAATTCTTAATTTAATGTCGATCCATATTTAAAAACAATAAGGGTAATTTATTGTAGGATAAAGTATACAAATACTTTATTGACTATAGAGCGTTATTTTATTGAGTCTATCGACTATTAAAAGTTATAAAATGAAATATCGGCTATAGGACATTATTTTTTGAGTATCTCGGCTATTAAAGGTTACAAAATGGTCACCTAATTATTTATTATCTTCCAAACTCGTCATTTTTCATTAAAAAAAATTGAAGACAGTGTGAGCTAGCTAGACATAAACTGTTGAATGAGATATGATAGTCGTTTAAGTTATGGAATCACATTTTATCATATCTCATTTACTATGTTAATGCCCAACTCAAACTTCTATCTTTTTTTTAACAAAAAAACGAATTTAAAATACAATGAATAGTCGATGACTATTTTGTAATTTTTAATAGTCTGAGATTAAAAAAAGTAACATCATTAGTCAAGTATTATTTGTAACTTTTAATAGTTAAAAAACTCAATAAAAATATATATTTTATTAGAACTCGTCATTTTGACGTGACGAATTTAAATAAAAAATATTATTTAAAAAATATAATTAAAAAATACGTCATCTTTAGAAATGCTTTTCGAGTATTGGATGAAATTGAACATGTCATACGTTTGGCAAATGAATCTTCATGTCTGAAACTTTGAATCGAACTTTGTTTTGCAGAGCCAACGCACAGCAGCCTGAACTTTTTGTCGGAATGATCCTTATCTTTGGCTCTCTATGGCCTTATCGTCGGCATCATCTTGTCTTCCAGAGCTGGCCAATCTAGAGCATAATATGATTCTCGTGCTGCTGCTGCTTAGTATAGCGTTTCTCAATTTTTTTTATTGCTTATATCGGTATCACTGTTTCCGAAATTATTATTCGATCGTGCTCGCGTTAATTCCGAAACATACCTATATCTCGATTTTGATACCTAAACTTTTAATCTTTTTAAAATCATACCTAACATTTACTTTTTGTTTCATTTTAATACCAAACCATTAAAAACTTAACATATTTAATACCTAAACCATCAGTTTTGATCCATTTTAGTACCTAAACTTTTCATTTTTCCCCCAAAATTTAACGTTAAATTTTAAATGAGTATTAAAATAAAATAAAAACTAAACTTTAAGAACGATCTTGAAAAAATTAAAAGTTTAGGTACTAACATAGATCAAAACTAATAGTTTAGATATCAAACGTGTAATTTACCCATTTATTTAATACTATATATATTACATACTTTTTTTTCCTCCTATTTTTGAATGGGAACCGGTTCTCCGATTTTTGGATCTCTCCATCGGCTCAATTGCCAACTAACAATAATAGCCGGAATGACAAAAGACGGCATATAAAAATTAGATAAAAATAGTTTGTCACAAGAAAGATTCAAGATTGAAATTCTATGCCATGTCAACAAGCATTTTTGTACCTTCAATCCGACCAATGATCTTTTGTTACACAAAAGACCAGACACATAGCAACAACCACGAAAGAGCATCAACATGAATGTTATTAAAAAGTCCTATCTCAGTTGAAAGAATTCAAAGTAGTTGTCCAAGATCCCTTGTTACGCACTAGAGGATCCGTTAGACCTGCATCAACCAGATTAAGAGTTTCAACATTAAAGTTAAACCAAACGGGCAGAGCAAGCGAGAGAAGCTCTTTCCATCACTGACTCGGCGATACCACGTTGGATTTTCAAGCAAAGAGTATGCTTTCTAGAGATTCGGACCTTAATACAAAAATAGTCCAAATTTAGAAGAGACAAACATGTAGAATCATCCCATAAATTATACAACAGATGATGAAAGTCTAAATAAAGTATGTTTATTGAGCCATAGGTGAAATGGCAAGGACTTGTTCTCGAGTCTGTGTTCAGTCCTTGGACGAAGCCTACTCCTTATAAAAAAAATATAGAAAAAAATCTATATGAAGCATGTGGCTAACCTTTATTGCTAGGGATATGAAAAGATGGATGTTTTAATCATTATCTTCTCGACCATAATCATACACAATCTCAATCTGCATCAAAAGTGAACATTCAGAACCAGCGGCAGATCTAGAAATTAAAAAATGGGGGTTCAAAATTTTAATATTCTATTTTTTCTAATAAATTAAACTAGATTTAACGATATTTCCAAAATAATGGGTATGCAATTGACCCCATCAAGGCCACATACATCCGCCCCTGATCAGAACCAGATAAAAAGCAATGAGACCAATCAGAAATTTAGTAACAATATCTGTCAGAACACAAATGATCTAGGTAATCAACAATATAAAACAAGACAACGCGGTATATATTAGGAGGTGGTTGTAAGCATATTATAAGACAAGTAGACTTTCAATTCACCCACCATTCTCCAGCAAAATAAATAAAATTATGATGCTTGATCAAGATAAAGATAAAACCTACTTAAAGGAAGAAATAACCAAACTATCTGCTTTCAAGTAGTAAAACGAGACAAGAAAAAGGGTTCTAGTTACTCTTTACTAGTTTTCTTAACTATGGACAAGAGGCATTGGCAGAATGCCGGAACGCAAGAAGGAAAAAAACACTGATAAGCAAGAAATGTTAGCTTAACACTTACCCCAGAAGGTGGGACAGGGTTTCGAGTAAACTTGGAACCACCAGGAGCCCAAGGAACTGCAAATGAATTTAACACATGAGCTTCAAACAGCATACTAGGTTTAAAACTGGAAACTAAGCACCTGATGAGAAACCTACCTATATCACAGTTAATCAATCACACGTCATAAAAAAGTGAGACCTAACAAGCAATAATCAACTATTGGTGGAATATACACAAGAAAGTAAGTGGAAAAGAGATGCCACCACTAGTTGTAGTGAATTGGCATAGTAGACTAGTAGTAGTGAATTGGCTCTTATTTGTCTTCTTTCACACAATCAATTTCACTGGTACCATCAAACTATCATATGAGAAGAAACTGAAATCCTCTAATAACTAATTAGTTATTATGGGATTTCTTCCAATTTTCAGAATTTTGAGCTATTCTCCTCTTAATTGTTAGAAAAGAAAGTTCAAGTGAACTTATGAAATCAGAAATTCATTTAGAAATAGAAGAGATGAATTAACATATTAATGGTCTGGTGGACCAGATGAAAGAACGTAATAACACACAATAATGTAAGTGAAAAAGCGATGCAACAAAGCATCGACATAGTAATTGTTTGATAGCATATCTTAAACTACTTCCACAAACATTTGCTCTCATTTGCCTTGTTTCACACAATGATTGAAAGTTATCTTTTATCAACAAACCATAAAATCCTATAATAATTAATTAGTTGCCAACAAGATTCCAACCCCTTATCAAAATTTTGTGCTATTTGCCTCTCGACTGTTTGAAAAGAAAGGTTCAAAACAACTTATGAATCTCAAAATTCACTTACGAATCCCTTCCACGTGATAATTAGTGAGACATGATATAAAATTCAAAATCCAATCCTTATTTCTCTCCCCTTCTATAATAATCATGTATCTTAGACCTACCGATATAAGGATCTGGATGCCGCCACTTATTATAAGTTGCTTCACCTGCAGCTATCATTTTGTCAATTGTGTCAAGATCTTCCTGCAAAAATACACCAAATTGAAAAAAGCAAAGCCAAAATAGCCTCAAGTTAAACCTATTAATTAATTAGACCATTTGAATACGATAAACACCATTTACATGAGTCTTGATAAGTTCAATGCAGAAGGCCAATAAGCTCAAATTACCATCTTCATAGAAAGAAAGGAAAAAAATGTGAATCGCAAATCACTATAAGTTAAAAAGAAAATTTGAGATTCAACAAATACTCGTTCAGGTTTACTGTAAAATCAACTTGAGGTGAAGATAGAGAAATAAGGAGGCCTAACCACATGCTTGTTGGCTTCGAATTTCTCGCGAAGGTCAGAAGCCTAAACATATAAATGAAATAAGATTAAAAAAATTGATTCAATTGAATAAAAAAACGAGAGGAGAAAATGAGATTGTGAAATTTTGAGGAGTTACATCTTGATAGAAAAGGTGGCGATGGACGGCCCAGTTGAGGGTGTCTTTGAGGGCACGGCGGTAGAGGATCCGAACCCTCTCCTTTTGGGCTGCTCGTCGTGCTAAATACGCCGCCGTCGTGGCTCCGCTCATCTCGGTGACCTTTTTGCTTTTGATTTCTCTTTTAGACTCTACACTCTCCTCTCTCAGGGTATTTCCCCACTCGGCTTCAGCTTGATCTATGAATGTGGACACGGGCCTCTTGATGATGAAACGACATCGTTTTACCCTTTTCAAAGCCCCCAGTAATTAGTCTAATTACATTTTAGCCCATATGTCTTAATTATTCTATTTATTATTTTGTTTTTCTACTATAAAAATAATTTTAATTATTATATAATATAAATATGGGGTCCGTTTGTTTTTTAGAAAATGCAATTCTTTTTCCAAAAATAATTTTTCGGTATTTATATGAAGCTATGTAAATCATTTTCCGTTGTTTGACAAATTTTTTATTATAATAATGAAAGTTAATTGTCCAAATATTTTATCAATATTTACTTATAATGTAAATTAGTTCAATAAACTCTTATATATAGCAACTAACACATGATTTCGATTTGCTGCTTACTTACATATAGGGATAATCTATGTTTAGCCCTCAATTATAACTACTTTGCTCACATTAGTCTCTAAGTTTTAGTCCCTGATTTTAACTTTCTTGCTTACACTTGACAGTTTGATTTAGCAAGAGAGGAGGAATGATGTAAGCAATGGAGAAATAAAACCTTTGAGCATAATGGGTAAAATTAACAAATCAGGTTAAGAGGTTTTAAAGAATGTTATAGCAAAATAAAACAGTAATAACAGAATAATCTAAATTTTTGTTTTATTTTTAGTACACGTTCAAAATTTAACGTTAATTTTTTTAAAATAAAATGAAGGTGTGGGCGCTAAAACTGATAGTCTAGGTACTAAATGCGTGAAGTTTTTAACGGCGACTACTCAAATGAAACAAAAATAAAATGTTAGGTATGATTTTAAAAATATTAAAAGTTTAAGTACTCAAATAAAATAAAATTAATAGTTTAGATACTAAATATTTAAGTTACCCTTAAGGTGTGTTTGGTTGGGGGACTGTGAGATTCCCATGGGAATGAAATCTACATTCTCCCGTTTGGTTGGCCGGGAATGTCATTCCCGGAAATCTTACATTATTAATAGTGGATTTTTTGGGGTATATTACCGGGAATGTCATTACCTCCCTTTCCTTAGGTATTGTTGGATTACCGGTATTTTGGACTAAAATGCCCTTAAAAAAATTTCTTTCAAAAATATCCTTATTCTGTCATTGAATAATAAAAATTCTACGAATGTTAAATTACAAATTTATCCTTAAACTATTTTAGATTTACAAAAAAAAAATCTATAATTAAAATTTTATATGAAGTTCAGGGGTTAAAATAAAATTTTATCATTCCATTAAACCTTTTTATATTTTCAACTTTATAAAAAATATATATAAATTTTATGAATTTAAATTTTTTAAAGAAAATATATAAATATTTTCCAACTTGTTAAAAAAACAAATATATAATAAGGACAATTTGGTCAAATATTTATTCTAATAATCTTTTATTCCTTTAACCAAACACGGTAATCTTACATTCCTGCTAAACCAACCAAACCCAAAATATAACATTCCAGTAATTATATTCCCTGGTAATCTTTTATTTCTACTGGTAATCTTACATTCCGTGAACCAAACACACCCTTAAAGTAATCACACATGATTTAGAAAAAATTACTACACAAAAAAGACCTTGAACTTGCAAAGTTCGATCAAATTGGCGCTTGAATTTGTTCCTTTTAATTTGACCTTTGAGAATGATAAGTTTAATCAAATTAGTCCATTAATTGTTTTTGTTAAATTAATCTTCTAAACTTTTATAACAATTTATCAAATTTAAAGATCAATTTTATTCAAAAAAAAATATCCTATTAAAAGTCAACAACTCAGTTTATTTAAAACTATTTTCCATCGTCGATTTATTTTTTCAGATTATAACAAACGCTATAAAATATAGTCATTATTATGATAAAATTAAAGGTAAATTATGTATTTCGTATCTAAACTATCGATTTTAATACGTTTTAATATTTAAATTTTTAATTTTTTTTAAAATCATACCTAAAATTTAATTTTTATTTTACTTTAGTACCCGTCATTAAAAACTTAAGTTTTTGCTTTATGTTAGTATCCCGTATAAAATTTAATGTTATTTTTTTAAAAATTAAAAGTTTAGGTACTAAAATGGGTCAAAACTGATAGTTTCGGTACTAAAAGCGTTAATTTTTTTTTTAAGTTTAGGTACTAAAACGAGCCAAAACTGATAGTTTAGGTACTAAATGCGTTAAGTTCTTAATGGCAGGGTACTTAAATGAAATGAAAACTAAACGTTAAGTGTGATTTTAAAAACAGGGGTCTAATGTTTTCTCCATTACACTTTTAGATGTCTATCCTTTAAATAAAACGATAGATGGCACGTGTTCCGTTTATATTTTTTGATTTCTTTAAAAAAATCAAATGAACGTGACACATGTCATTTTGCTGGATTTTTTAACGATAAACACCTAAAAGTATAACGAAAAAAATATTAGATACTTATTTTAAACGAAAAGTTCTTTAGATACCAAAAATCAAATTTAAATATAATTTAAACACTTACTTTTACCGCCATCATTAAAAGAAGATAAAATAACCCCAGTGACCAAAAATGCTTTATAATATACGATTTTAACCAACTTTTTTTGGATTTGTCAAAATGACCAACTAAATCGCAATGCGATCGATAATTCGCAACGCGAACTTCGACTATCGCATTGCGATAGTCCAAGTTCGCGTTAATGCGATAGTCGAAGTTCGCGTTACGATTTATTCCAAGTTCGTTGCGATAGTCGAAGTTCGCGTTGCGATTTATTCCAAATTCGTTGCGATAGTCGAAGTTCGTGTTGCGATTTATTCCAAATTCGTTGCGGTAGTCGAAGTTCGCGTTGCGATAGTCCAAAATCGCAACGACGGTATTGCATTTGTTTCTTAAGAATTTTCTCTAAAAAGATAGTATTCGCGCGGACGTGTCGAAGACACGTATTACCACGACCACGACCCGAGACGAGACGAGATGGACGGCGGTTGCGGCGGCGCGCGAGAGTTCCCCTTGTTCTCTATCACTCAACAAGGAAGTGGGAAAGACAAGCCTTAAATATCATTCTCAATAATGTTTCCAATACTATGTGGGATTGTGCATTACCAACACTTGTTCCCAATACTATGTGGGATTGAGCCTTAAATAGTGATATTATTTTTGAATGTTTTGCTTAAAATTGTAATAATCACGATTGATTGTATATTGACTTTTAATTATGACATATTTAATCGTATAATACTAATGCAATTGGTTGTTGATTCAGTTGTTTTAAGATGCATGATTGTTAATTGTTTCCTGAATAATCATATTGTATTGGAAACAAGTGTTGGTAATGCTCAATCCCACATAGTATTAGAAACATTATTGGAAATGGTATTTAAGGCTTGGCTTTCCCACTTCTTTGTTGAATGATAGAGAACAAGGGGACTCTCGCGCGCCGCCGTCGCCGTCCGTCTCGTCTCAAGTCGGGTCGGGTCGGGTCGTGGTCGTGGTCGTGGTCAATCCACAGGAGTTCCTGGTGCTTCACACATCGGATTCAACCCAGCATCTCTAATGCTTCTTCCAGACTCACCTGCTTCTATGCCAGTGCCCCGAACCAATGGAGAAAGTATCACACATTTGCAAAGAAATTGAATGAGACATGCCCGAGTGCATATATTGAAGTTTTCGTCAACAGAGAGGAAAAATAGGCATAGTCTCACCTGGCCATTGGCAAGTTGTTTCTTCAGTCCGGCAACAAAAGAATGAATGCTAGTAATTTGCTCATCTGCAGAAGTCTGGATTGAAGCACTCCCAATAGAAGACAGAGAATCATTCCTGGAGAGCATCCCACTATCGGGACCATAACTTAATGAAGGAAATTTCATTTGGTAACTGTCTGGTCTTCCAGGAAAGCTTTTATCGAACCCATTAGGACGGGTACTTGCAATATGTTCCCTGTCTATATATGAAGAAGATGTAGTATCCATGACATCTGCTCTACAACTCCAGCTTCTACTCAACTCCGGGCCTTCTTGAATGTGATTTGCTTCTCCGTCTCCATTCAATGGGCCTTGACTTACACCATTTGGTACAGCACGAGATTCAGAATCATTATTTTCACCAGGGTCATCAGCAGTTTTAGCTAGAGTCATGGAATGATCTTCATGATCGTTCAAAGGCCTGCGATGACTCCCCCTCTCTATGTCATAGCAATGAATTGGATTAAATTTTCTAACACGTGCATCAAATTGATTAGAAGCAGCCAAACATGATGACTCTGATTCTGAATAGTCATCTTCATATGTATCCCCTGCTCGTTGATTGGAATGGTAATTGACTCTTGCCTGATCAGAGAAAGAGAAAGAAGTTTAATCAATCATTAAGGAATTCAAATCAAACTAATAATATATTTCAAGATGAAAATAATGAATAATATTGCAACCAGGCACTGTATATTCAGTGAAAATAATAACATGTAAAGATACTATGGGCAAAACACAAACCAATTGTCCTGAATCTTGATCGCTTCCAATCATCCTTGGCAGATCCTTGACCCGAGATTGAGTAAGATCACATTGCTTAGTCAACTATCTATTCTCCTTCTCCAGCTGAATAGTGCAAAGTCGGTTATCAATGTTAGGCAACATGTAAAATGTAAATGCCTACGCTTTCCCTTCTATATTAATTTTTTTATTATTTATTTTGACAAAATTAAATAAAAAAAATTAATTTTGTCCATTAAAGAGGACCCCTTGACATCCTTTATAAATTTCTCAAAGGGGATGGTTACCTTCTCGATCTGAAGATCTTTCTTTCTCAGTAAAGCTGCATAGTCGCTGTTAGAGGAAGGAGGAGGCACAGGACTCCCGAGTTCACTTTCTAACCTGGCCAACTCTCTTTGTAAATGCTTAACTAAGGCCTTATCGGACATGACGACATTGACCTGAGCTTTTGTAGTAATTTCTTTTGCACAACAAGCAAACAGAAGAGTGTTCCTGGTTTGTTCAACGTGGCTCCGTGCAGGGCTCAAAGTACATATGATTGCAGTCCTGGCATTACCACCCAAACAAGGCTGCAGTATGCGTGTCAGCTTCGAATCCCTGTGATTAATATGTCCTCGTCTGCCTTTACTGCATCCACCATAGCACCACATTGATGAGTTGAGCAATCTAACAGTGATTATTACTAAAAATCCTACTGGATTGAAGGAACAAACACTCAAGAAGTATAGTAAACAGAGGTTTAAATATTAGTGCCATCGAGAAAGATTCAGATCTGAATCTAATTAAGCACACTATCATAAAACTATGCCCCAAATGCCTTGTTCCAGTCTAAAACTGAAAAGTGATTAACCATAAAGGAAACAAACAGGAATTCATTCAGCCTCGCAGTAACAAAATAACTACATATAGATGCTTAAAGAAATTAGAGATTAAACAATCTCTTGCAGATGATAGAAATGAAAAACAAGAGCACTCTAACATAAGGTAATCCAACCGACCTTAGCTTGCGAACAACAGTTGACAGAGTCAGTAAACTACGATTTATATGGCAACCCTCTTTCAGTCTTGTCCCAGTGGATAAGGCCTGAGATGCTCTTTCACTTCCAGCCAAATCAATAAAATTCTGCACCCAAATAACTGTCATTTAAATTTTTTTTTCCTTCCATTTGAGAACTAGCAAACTGTGAGTGAAAGCCAATTCCAAGAGCTATACTACACTTGCTGCAAGGGTTGTACAATTTTCTTTTCCTAGGAACTCCCGAGCAGAGCTTTCAATTGTCTACAAAAGTTAGAACGCACACCATGGTAAGCCAAAATGAAAAGGGAAGTTTTTAACATCATTACACATAAGCTGTAAGCAATATAATGTTCAAGCAATGTCAAAAGAACGGGCAGAGGAGATTACCAATCTTATAATTTGATGAGATCGGGAGCTTCTCTCATTCAAGGAAGTGTCTCCTATTCTTCTTTGAGCTGCAACAGTGCAATGTATTAAGAATTAATTATAATACGTAAATGTGTAACATCATCCGGTAAACAGAGCACTCTTTAAAATGTTTTACCTTCACAAATTGCAAGGAGTTCTTTCAAGTGGTTCCAGTCCTTCAGAGATTCCTCTGTGACTTTTTCCACAATAGTTCCTCTCTGACAAAAAGAACGTCTTAGAGCAATCATAAACTTACGGAACTAATATTGTAATATGGATGTTGCTACTCACCTCAGGATCATCACGCAACCAAGAATATCAGAGGTATGAGCGTTTAATATCAAATGATAGAGAATTATCTATAAACAAATACTACCTTATATATATATATATAATTAGATTCAATTACACAGTGTAAAACTATTTTAATTTTACACAAATTTAATATCGTTGGATGGGTAAATAGATGATTAAGAAATGAGAATATATTTATCGAAAGAAATAAAAGAATTAATCTCAATTACCTATTTTTAACTCATCTAATGATCTTAAATGGATTCAAACCGACTTAATTTACTTAAACATGTTTATTACCTTTAGAAAAGATCATAGAAAAGTGATTTTAGAAAATATTTTTTATATTGTTTGATTTAAAGTATAGACCTAAATCGATTGATTAGATTGAATAAAAAATATTAATTTGACAAATTAATCATGTGAACATGATGAATTTACTTTGTATTATAGCATTTAATGTAGATCCCAAATAAAAATTTGAATAGCTTTTTAGGCCAATTTTACCTTGGAATGATGGATTGAATTACAAAGGCCCATGAGGTTAGATCCGTCATTACGTTGCACTTTAGGACAATAAAATCGGATCTCTTGCTCTCCCTCCCTAGTAGTTTTTTCTTTTATTCTCTGCGAAGTCGAACGGCAACACCAGCTCTCTCCTCCCGTATTAAATGAGACGAGACAGATCGTGAGTTATTCGAGATTAATTCGATAAATACTCGATAAATACTCAGATCGAATGAATTAGACTCGAGCTTGACTCGAGTTCTTAAAGAACCGAAACGAAACGAATTACTCGATATTCGACTCGAAAAAATCGTGAACAACACAAAAATATAATATATTAAGATTTTATTTTTTAAAAATAAATTATTAATAATATTAATATTTATGTATTGATTTTTTTTAAAATACAATAAGATTTTCATGTATTTAAGGTTAATATTCGAGTTTGAATTTAAGATTTCAATCGAGTTAAATTTAAGATTTTTTTTATTTCAAGCATTTTCGAATTGCTCACGATCTTCAGTTCAAAATTTTGAATTCGAGTCAAGTTTAAAAATTTTAAATTCACAAATTTTCAAATTAAACCTAACTCTATTTCAAAATTTAAAATCAAGTTAAACTCAACAATACTCAAACTCGAGTCCCACACCCTATCCCTTACCCGTCGATTCTTTCCATTTCGCAAAAATGAAAATATTTGTTTTTTTTAAATAAATAAATTAAGGAGAAAACGACGCCCAGGAAATTTTACCCAGAACTCAAAACCCTAGGGCTTTCAATCTCTAGGGTTTCACTCGATTTTTAATTTTGCAGTTCGCTTTTTAATTTTAGTTTTCCATCTATGGATACCGAGGAAGAAGAGGCTCGCCACTTCTCCAATGTTGATTCCTCTGTTAAATTGGAAGATGCTCCGGCGACTATAGCTACGGACTCCGAGTTGCAGAATCAATACACTGAGCCACGTTCCGAGCTCGAGTCTGCTCCGTCGGCGGTGTCTCCTGTTGCTGAAAAGGAGGGGGTTGTTGATGTGGAAGTGGCGGTTGGTGGTGAAGATTTGATAGTTGGAGAGGAGAAGGACGGGATGTTGGGTTCTGGTGTTGAAATGAAAGATTCGTATCCGGTTGATGGTAATAAGGAAGGTGGTGACGGAGAGGATAGTCACATGGAAGGGGAGAGAGCTGAATTCGTGGAGGATGAGACAGTGGATGATGCGATGGACGAAACGGAGGATGCGGGTAATGTGTCGGATGAAAGATTGACGGCGGAAGGAATTGACGTTCCTCCGGCGAGGCAACAAGTTGCTGAGCTGGCTCAGGTGGAGCAAAAGGTGACTGATGATGTGGCTGACGTGGCGAATGAAAGAAGGACTGATGAGGCGACAGAAAAAAATTGGTCAAGGAAGAAACAAGCGTGGCCGTAGAAGTGACTGATTCAACAGAGCAGACTGTGGTTAAGGAGGAAACTGGAATTATGGAGGAAAGAGAGGCTGCTGACATATCTGTGAAAAGTGAATTACTGGTGGATATTGAGGTGGAGCAAAGTGGTGAGATTATGGATAAAATTGGAGTGGATAACATTTACGAGGAAAGTGAATATCTGGATAAACCAGTTGTTGATCTTGCAGTTCCAACAGAGGTTGCGGAAGAAACTGGCACTGACATGGTTGAGAAAGTTGGAACTTTGGAAGAAAAAATGGTGACGACTGTGTCTGAGCATGAAAATTTGGAGGACATTCATGCTGTAGGGGAAGTAGGTACCAATATGACTGAACCAGAGGAGAACCCTGTGATGGAAGGAAAAATGGTGACTAATGTGTCTGAACAAACTGAAAGTTTGGAGGATATTCATGCTGTAGGGGAAGCAGGTATGGATATGGTCGAGGCACAGGAGGACCCTGTGATGGAAGGAAAAATGGTGAATAATGTGTCTGAACAAACTGAAAATTTGAAGGATATGCATGCTGTAGAGGAAGTAGGCGCAAATAGGGTTTATGCAGAGGACCCTGTGATGGAGGAGGGATCGGATAATAAAGAAGATACAGAGTTCGGAAATGTAGCAGAGGACGTTGACAAAGCAGACGGGATGGAGGCCGAGATGACAGATACTGCAGAGGTAATGGAAGCGGCAGATAACACTGAGATGCCAGGCATGACAGAAGAGTTGGAAACCGAGGCAGCAGAGGAGACGGAGGGCATGGAGGAGACAGCGGATACTAGTAAAGCCAGTGGCGGCAAGAGGAAGCGGGGAAAGAATTCAAGTACTAAGGTTCAGGCAAAAGCTCCATCTAGGAAGAAGGCAGAAGAGGATGTCTGTTTCATATGCTTTGATGGTGGTGCCCTTGTGCTTTGTGACCGCAGGTGAGTGTACCAAATCCGAATCTCAGACCAGCTGTATATTTGTATTCAATGTCTTACTCTTTCTGTTGTTATTCTTCCTTAGGGGTTGCCCAAAGGCTTATCATCCTGCTTGTGTTGGTCGAGATGAGGCTTTCTTTCAAACAAGGGGTAAATGGAATTGTGGTAAGTTCCTTTATTGCACTCTCTTAACTTCTAATATCTGAGTTTATTTTAGGGCCTTGTGGAATATGAAACAATCTGTTGCTTGTCACAGTGGCGCTATTTTATTTTTACCACGAGCGTATCGTCTTATGATTAAGTTTTGCAATATTTAGGGAAAATTGCTGTTTGCTTGCAAGCCGATACTGATTTAGGAACATGGGCTCCAAAAATTTTGATTTTGTATTTAATTGCGCCATTATTGAAGTCATTACTTCTTTTCTTTGCGAAATGTTTGATGTAAATGACAGTGAAACCTGCTGGAGTGGGCTTTTCCGAAGGCAAGGAAGTTCAGTGTTTAGTTTTGCCCAGGACACCGCTAAAGTTTTGCATGCTTCTTGAATGGGTTTAATGGCGCTCAAAAGAACATTTGAAGTGTAGTATCTCTATGTAGTAATTAGGGTTCACCTTTCATTCCAAGTCAAGGCAGTGGCTACTCACAATGCTTGGATTTGAAGCGAAACTGCACATTGTAATTATTGTCCTGGAATGCAATCATTTCTTCGCTCATGAAAAAATTCAATCAAGGTCACAAAGGCTGAGTTTTCCAGTGACTTCAGTGTTTATATTTGTAATACACCCGGTCAAGTGTCTGAGAGCTTGTTTACCTGCCTTTTATTTAGACACAAGTGCAGAACCATGCAACTGCTGTACTTTGACTTTATAAGTGGGCAGAAATTATGACCTCAGTTTTGGAGCTTGCAAATTGATTTAATTTCATGTGGAGTGACAGATACCCACTTGCATGCTGAACGTGCATTTCTGGCTAACTAATGATATGTTTGGCAACTCTAAAATTGTGTTTTTTAAGTGCTAAGGACAGTTGAAATTTCACATGGACTGCAATGGATGCTGAATTGAACTTTTGGTCAATTTTTTTCTGATGTTAACTGAGAATGACATGTAGCTATCTTTGCAAAAGGCAATTTGGATCTGCCCTAAATGCCCTTCACTTGAGCCACCAGAAATACTTCTCTTTGTTTGTTTAAACTATGCACAAAAATGGAATAAGAACTTACAGTTTCATTAATTCGTGTTAAATGATAATGGGAAAAGAGGCTACTATTTTGCAAACACTGGACAAGCCTTTCTTGGTCTTATTTTTCATAGAATTTTTTCCTTTCTCTTCTTTTGTACCTCCAAGCAGTGCCCTTCTTATTGAGAAAGATTTAACTTTCAGATGCTCATTAGTATGAGAAGATGCAGTGAGGAATGGGAAGCATAACATTTTTATGTGAAAAATGAAGGGAAAAGACCTGAATGAAAAATATACCTTTTGGCTTGAATTAGCAATAGCCAAGACGGTTGACAGAACTGCTTATATAAATTTCAGGATACAATTGGTAGGATAAGCTAACTGTGTAGGCATGATCTACTGAGTGACAGCCGTGTTAAATGCTTCTGATCATCAAAGAATGATGAACATTCTATAATGTGTGATAAAAGCGTCTACTAAAATATTTATGTTCAAGGTTATACCATTTTTTGTTTGCAATTTTTTTTCAATGTCTGAAGAAAGAAAGACCGGTTCATAAGCTTTTACAATTCTTTATGCAAGGCTGCTTGCTCAAGGCTTAAGGGGCCATATGCACTTGGGGACTTGGAATGTGCATTATCTTTTTGTTGCCTATTTGTGTGACTACTTGTTTGCTGTTACTTTCTGTTAAGATGCTGCAGGTAAAAAATATGTTGGTTGACACCGTGGTCTGATTTCTCTATTGTCATTATTCATTTATCAACTTTGACTTTTATGTATAGAGAAAATGTTTTTATGTTACTTTTTACTTCTCTGTTCTAAATCAAGTTGTGCTTTCTGTGAATTAGGTTGCCATCTGTGTAGCAACTGTAAGAAGAATGCCCATTATATGTGTTACACATGTACCTTTTCCTTGTGCAAGGGATGCATCAAAGATGCTGTTATCCTATGTGTTAGGGGTAACAAAGGTTTCTGCGAGTCATACATGAATCTTGTCATGTTGATTGAAAGGAAGGATCAGGAAAACGAAGAAATGGTATTATTATACTGTTATTGTATTTCCATGTTATTTCTGTTTAAAAACATTGCATTTGCAATGTTTGATTATTGTTCTATCATTGAACATTGTGAGCTTGATCGTGTTGTTTTCAGTCATATATGCATTAAGAATGTGACTTCTGATGTTGTCTTTTGTATTTGCAGTATGTTTCCATGATTTTATTTGATTGTGGGAATTTGATATTTGGAATAATTTCTGCACTTATCTCAATTTGGCTGATACCGTGTTTCAAAATTTTCTTTTAATAATTTTTTAGCCTAATAGATTAATGTGGTAAGTTGTAAATATGTAACTGGTGATTTCATAGCATCAACTTTCTTTCCTAATATAATGTCAAAATTATTAATATCGTTCTTGAGCTCTTTTTTGCCTCTTGGTATTTGCTTCTTCTTTCTTTCTTTTTTCCTTTTTTATTTGGGGAGGGGGGGTATTCCGTGTCCTTGGACTGTTTTATTAGGATGATTTTTTTTTTATTTTTTAGCATGCTTCATTATAGATTGTTTGAAGTCTATGTTTCTTTAAATGTTTCACTCTCTTTGAAAAAAATAGTCTACTTGTTTGAATTGTATGGCTATGCCAGCCTCTTGACCTTCATACTGGCATTGTTTTCAGTTGCATTCTTCAATGGTTTCTGCTTTTTGTTGAGTCTGTAAGGAAAAATGAAAAAGACTGGAGAGTGTCCACCGGAGAACATCACATGTTAAAGTCTTTCAGATTGAGAGACCGTGCCGAGCCTGAGCTAAAAGGGAAACTGAGAAACATGCATTAATATTTCGTCTTGGTTCAGTAAATAAATTCAACAGAGTATTAGTTATTTTGTGGCTGTATTCACATATGAATGTTGATTCAATCTTTGTTTGGGGTTTTCGGGTTTATTAGTGGCTTTGCTCTCTCGCTGCTAGTTTGGTGGAAATTCTCCAATTTGTGGTTATTCATAATATTTGTTGTTACTTTTGCAGACACAAATAGATTTTGATGACCGAGGTAGCTGGGAATATCTATTCAAGGATTATTGGATTGATTTAAAAGAGAGGTTATCTATAACTTTAGATGAACTTTCTGAGCCTAAAAATCCCTGGAAAGGTGCTGCCAAACAGGAATCACCTGATGAACTTCATGGTTTTGATGATGCTGGAGGGTTTGACTCTGATAATTCTTCTGGGAATGTGGAAGTAACTGTTTCTAAACGAAGAAAGACTAGGAGTCAATCAAAGGCACGTGCAAGGGAGGGTGATTCACCAAGCACTCTTGCAGCTAGTGGTGAAGGGGCATCTGCAGATGAAAATGCTGAGTGGGCATCAAAAGAGCTCTTGGAAGTTGTTACGAACATGAGAAACGGCGACAAATCTGTTTTATCTCGAATGGAGCTTAGTCAACTTATATTGGATTACATTCACAAGTACAAGCTTCGAGATCATCGCAATAAGTCTTACGTCATTTGTGACACAAGGCTTAAGAATCTGTTTGGGAAACCGAGAGTGGGGCATATTGAAATGTTAAATCTCCTTGACCCTCACATATTTTTCACGGAGGAGGATTCTCAGACTGATGATTTCCAAGGGAGTGTTGTTGATGCAGAAGCTAATCAACTTGAGGCTGATTGGAACTCTGATGCTTTGACAAAGACCGGAAAAGATAAGAAACGTAAGAATCGTAAGAAGGGTGATTCAAGGGGACTTCAATCGAACGTGGATGACTATGCTTCCATTGATATGCATAATATCAATCTAATTTATTTGCGACGAAATTTGGTGGAGGAATTGCTTGAAGATACTGAAACATTCCATGACAAGGTTGTTGATTCTTTTGTGAGAATAAGAATATCTGGTGCTGGTCAAAAGCAAGATTTGTATAGGCTAGTGCAAGTTGTTGGTAAATACCTGGAAACTGTCTACCATTGCATGTCTTTTACTTCAGCACGAGTACCAAAATCTCATAAGATTGTTAAACGTTATGATTTGTTGTTCAGGTCCGAGCAAAGTTGCTGAACCATATAGAGCTGGCAAAAGAACAACCGATTTTCTACTAGAGATTCTAAATTTAAATAAGACGGAGGCCGTGTCAATTGATATTATATCAAATCAAGAGTTCACTGAGGTAGTTTTTATCTGAAAGTGGAATTGCGTTTTATTTTTCCTTTATTGACCATCTGCATCTTTGATGGAGTTCTATGCCTATGCCCTTTTCTCTAACTAAAGGACAATATGATCTTATATAAAAACTTGTGTATGAAAATAGAGGATGCCCTTCCTAGAAACCTGCCAAATTAATGTATTAGAAAAAAATTCAAAATCTTTCACTAGAAGCTTGAAGCCTAAAATTTGACAATACTGTTTCTGTTGTTCATAGGGAATAAAAAGTGTCAATATTAGCAGTTCTATGATACACACACATATTGGAGTCTTGTTTAGCCAGTATTTTGTTTTAATTATTTTATTTTAAAATTTTTTCATGTTAAGAATAAGCTAAGCCAATTGATCTATTAGGATGAATGCAAGCGTCTGCGTCAGAGCATCAAGTGTGGACTTATCAACCGGCTGACTTTCACTTGGTTATCATTTTTTTTATCCCACTGTTACCTTTATTTTCTTTTAAATTTCATCTGGAGTAATTTTTCCTAGATTTATTGATTGTTGCAGGGAGATATACAGGAAAAGGCCATGGCAATCCAGGCTGTCAGAGTCAAAGATGTAAATATCTTTCTTTTCAACTAGGGTTATCATATATATATGCATGTATGTAGACATGCAGACACTTTTGTTAGAATGGCTAATTAGTATGATCCCTGATCTTGAAAATCATGAAGCACAACTTATCTGGTGGGTAGTCTAGATTAAGTGTGATACCTCAAACAAAAAAGAGTGAAATTTCTTAAATATGGATAATAGGCAAAAAAGGATCACGATCTTAATCCTGAATTTGATCTTTTGGGAGTAGTATCATTGTTTGTATCATATCAGTTTGTGTTATTAACAAAGAATAACCAAAATTTCTCTGTTATCAAAATGCAGTGGTTGGAATCGGAGATAACATGCCTCAGTCATCTTCGTGATCGAGCCAGTGATTTAGGACGTAGAAAGGAATATCCTTTGCTTATAATTTTAGTTTCTTCACTACAATTAGTTTTTGATGACTTGCAACATTTTTGGACATTGGATATGCTAGAGGCTCGACTGTGATGTCTTGATTGAGGGAAGGAAGACCAGTAGCCTCACCTTTATTCAGAACATCTTTTAGGTTTGAAAGGGAGAGATATCCCTGCTAAACCTGGAGACCTTCAAATTTTTTGAACTGTCAAAATTCGGGGATTTGGTGGAGTAGGATGCCTTGATAAACAGTTTTACTTATACAGACGAATTTTCTTCTTTTTCAATAGTATTTATTATGATTTATAATCATAAAGTATATGATTGAAAAGAATGAACTAAATGATCATCTTGGTGGTGCAATCTGAAAAAAAAAAGATATTTTTTGCGTTGTTTTAAGGGGAAAAAATTAAACACTTCTGGAATGTAGCTGTTTGGGAGTACTTTCCTGTGGTTGAACGATTAACTGAACTTATAAAAAAATAATTTCTTGTTCTTTTCTGATTTCATATACAGTTTTATGTGGTAGATATATTTCGTTTAAAGAACCATCGCCGACTGTTTCATTGTAGTCCTTGACTTCTGTTCACGCTTAGAGAATGTGTAGAGAAACTGCAGGTTTTAAAGACACCTGAGGAGCTACAGCGTAGATTAGAGGAGTTTCCTGAGATACATGCTGACCCCAACATGGATCCTAGCTACGAATCAGAAGAGGAGGAAGATGATAAGAAGCAAGGTCCTTTTTTCTTGTGAACTTTTTAATGCCCTGTTATCTCTTATTTGTCTTTGAGTTTGATAATCTTTTGGTTCATACAGAGAATTATCTGAGGCCAAGAGGTAGTGGTTTTAGCAGGCGAGGAAAAGAACCGATTTCTCCCAGGAAGGGAGGTTACAGTTCAAATGATTCTTGGAGTGGGAATAGAGACTATTCTAGCATGAATCAGTTATTAGGCAGGAACCTATCTAGTAAAGGATTTACAAGCAAAGGGGATGATCCTATTGGAGCTAGTGAAATGGGGAATGAAAATTCACGGAGTCTTGCACGGGAGAGAGAAACACAACAACCAAACAGTCGGAGCAAGCCGAAAACTGCTTTGATCTCAGAAATTGGGACGAGGAATGCCCACAATGTTGTAATCCAGGAACCGTCTTTGAAGGTCGTGTCAGAAATTTCACCTGCACCTTCATCTGCCGGAGTAACTACTGGTGTCCAAATTAATGAATCGGAGAAAATGTGGCATTACCAGGATCCATCTGGTAAGGTTCAAGGACCGTTTTCAATAGTGCAGCTACGGAAATGGAGTAACACTGGATATTTCCCTGCTGATTTGAAAATATGGAGAACTAATGAGACGCAAGATGATTTTATACTTTTGACTGATGCCTTGGCTGGAAAGTTTCAGAAAGACCCTCCTCCAGTAGTAGATAATAGCCTGCCAAAGGCTCAAATGGCCTTGTATGGGAATTCTCTTGGAGCAACCTTGAAACAAGGAATGGAAAGCCAAGTTGGAGAAAGATCAAGGCTTGATCAACACCATGTAGCTTGGAGTCCTCAACGTGTTTTGGCTTCACCAGGTCAATCTGTCGTAGAAAGTTGGAAATCTCAAACAGAAATCATTTCTTCCACAGTCAGACCTGCCCCATCTTCACTTGAGATCCCGAAGCATTCTCGAGATACATGGGCCTCTGACACAAATCTACCTTCTCCCTCTGGTGGGAATAGGGGACAAGCGTTTGAAAGCAAATGGTCTCCTACTCCCGCACAGCCTTCGGGGTCTTTTCCAGTACCTAATCCATTCCAAGGAGGTGCAGTAGGGCTGCAACCTGCTACTGTTCTTCCAGAGAGTGGGAGCCCAGCTGCTCCTATAGTGCATTCGCATACAATGGTGTCAAGTGAATCACACAGGAGACAGGTCAATGTGCAAGCTTCAGTTAATTTAGCTGCTGATATTAAAAATGCAGCTGCGTCTATCCAGAATTTGGTTCAATCTATGAGTGCTCATAATCCTTCTGCCGAGACTCATGGACCGGGTTCTGTCTCAGTTTCAAGGCACGAAGAAAATGCTTTCTCCTTACCTGCCACTGGAACTCAAAAGTGGGCAAATGCTTCAACTCAGAAGCTAGAGCCAAATCTGTCACGTGCCATGCCTGCCCAACCTGCTGCTTATAGTCATTGGGATGATGCATCACAATCCAGTCAAAATCCTGCTCCTTTCAACCCAGGAAATCCAACTGGGGGTTTTCCAACTCCTGGCCAACAGAGTATGATGCCACTGGATTCTTGGAGACCTTCCGTTCCAATTCAGTCAAATGTTCAGCTTCCTGGTCCACCCAATTTACCCTGGGGTATGACTGTCGCAGATAACCAAGGTACTGCCCTGAGACAAGCACCCGGAAATCAGAACCCTGCTTGGGGGCCAATGCCAGGGAATCAAAACATGGGTTGGGGTGCACCGGTCCCTTCAAACACAAATATGAACTGGGGGGCCTCTGGTCAGGGTTCAGCATCTGTTAATCCAAATCAAAATTGGGCTGCACCTGGCCAAAGACAAGTGCCAGGTAATGCGAATCCAGGTTGGACTGGTCCTGGGAATACAATGCAAGGATGGACACCACCTGGACAAGGACCCAATATTGTTAATAATGCAAATTCTGGGTGGGTTGCCCAGGAATGGCAAATCCTTGTTATCCGGCACCGTCTAGAAATACAGGCGGAATGTGGGGAAACGAACCGAGTCACAACGGATACAAGTTTTCTGATCAAAGGGACAGGAGTTCCCAGGGCGGTGATCCGGTTTCGGTGGGGCAAAACCTTGGAGTAGGCAGTCATCATTCGGCGGCGAGGGTGGTTCTAGGTCTTCCTTTAAAGGACAGAAAGCGTGCAAATTCCATGAAAATGGGCACTGCAAGAAAGGGGCTTCTTGTGATTATATGCACTCTTAGAATTTTTGGTACATGTAAATCAGCTTAGAATAGGTATGTCTGTACTGTGTCCATTTGGAAATTTCCCGACTTCACAGTTTCTTTGAATGATTTATGCTTTGTAAAACCCTTTTTGTAGTTTTAACTCTTCTTTTCTTCTTCCAAATGGAATGCCGTCTTAGCCATTTTAAGTGAATATTTTTATAAATAAGTTATCTTGAATTTGTGTTCAATTCTTAGAGTTTTACCAAACTGTTTGGTAAATTGTGCATAAAATGGTTGGATGGCCCTGATTGGTCCGGTTCGATTTGGACTTTACACGGATCTGACCTGTTTATTTTTTTTATTAATTTGGAATAAGTATAAGTAGTATCTGTTTAAAGATAACTCTTAACCATTTGACGTTAAACGTTTACATCTATGATATTCCTAATGCTCGAATTCAGGATTTCGAGAAATAATAACAGTTCTTTTATTATTGAGACAACATGGTTTAGTTTGATTAGGCATAATTTAATAACTTTAAAATAGTTTTATTGATTTTAATTATGTAAATATTAATTAAAATTATATTTTCTATATTTTCCATTTTAATATAAGAAAATGAGAAATTTTGAGGATGAAATACAAATGAATTTAACTTGTGGGTAGGGGTGTAAACGAGCCGAGTCGAACTCGAGTATTGCTGAGCTCGACTCGACTCGAAAACTCTGAAATGAAGCTCGACTCGACTCAAAAACTCTCGAACTTAAAATTTTCAAGCTCGACTTGAACTCGAAATCCTGAACCGAAGCTCGTGAGTAGCTCGAAAAGGCTCGAAATGAAAAAATAAAATTAAATTTAATTCGATCGAAACCTCAAACTCAAACATGAACCTTAAATACATAAAAATCTTACTATATGTTTTTAAAAAAAATTAATAAATAAATATTAATATTATTAATAATTTATTTTTAAAAAATAAAATCTTAATATATTATATTTTCGAGCTGCTCACGAGCTTTTCGAGTCGAATATCAAATAATTCATTTTGACTCGTTAATATTTATCGAACTTTAATTAAATCAATCTCAAATAACTCGTTATCTGTCTCGTCTCATTTACAGCCCACCGCTTGTGTGCTGAAATTGCAAAATTGCTCTATTATACTCCAAAAGTAACCCAAACATCCATTTCAGTTGCAGGGAGTAAAAGTAGGAAGATGAACAAGGAAGAGGCAAAAATCGACACCCAAAATCAAAATCCTAATTCTAGCGCGAACCCCAACAATCAAAATCAAATCCGAGGATCCAAAGGGAAAACATGCAAGGGATGCCTCTATTACTCCTCCGCTCTTAAATTCAAATCCCAAAACCCCACCTGCATCGGCATCCCCAGAACTCTCCAACAAGGTCTCTATCTCCCTTCATATTCTTTTTTTCTCCTCTTCTTATGATTCTGGGTTTCTTATGTTTCTTTTCATTTCTTTGATTGTTTTGAATTTATTTGTTAAAACTTGGGGGTGAAACGGTATGAACTGAATGGAAGTTATGATAGTACCTAGGTACATAAGTGGGGAATCTGAATTGGAAGCTTCCAAGGAAGGCCGTACTCTTACGGATTTCAAGTATGCTTGTGTCGGTTACTCGGTTTTCTTGGATAATAAAGATTCTTCACCTGAATTACCCTTCTGTGTTGGTCTCGAGGTATTTCCCTTTCCCTTTTTGTTTATTCTGTATTCCTAATGCATGTTTGGAGATTGTGGGGTTTGGTTGCAGATTAGTTGTATTTCATTTCGGATTTGAATTGTTGATTTTCATGATACCCTAAATGAGTGCCAATCTATATGATTTTTTCTATGTGGTTTTTTCAATTACTGGAATGAATCGTTAGCATTGTCCGACAAAAAATATATTTCATCGCTTATAGAAAATGTTAACAATTTGTGTATGTTTTTCAAGGACCAGAATGAATCACGAGCACCGTCTTAATGGTTTTAACGGTTTTAAAATGTATTTCACCGTACAATACATGTTGACACCCGTGTATGTCCCTGGTTAAATAATACACTATTCTGGTTACCTGTTGCTTCAGGTATTATTGGACAGAACAGCTGCTTCGAACGACCATGTTCCTGTCAATATCCATAAAAACAAAGGTATTTGAAGTCATTTCATTTCTTTCTTTTCCATATGTGAGAAAACAATCATGAGTCTGAGAATAATGATACACCAATAGTTCACTCGAAGTCCCATGTTACAATAATTGAAATGATAATGGTGAGTAATCAAACAAGATCGTGAACAAGAACACAGATTTACGTGAAGAATGAAGGGATAAATCACGGGTAGATGAGAAGAAATTACTATAGTCGGCGACAAAATTATAAGAGAAACCCTAGAACCTCAAATTCATATATATTTATACAGATACAGTAACCCTAGTTGATTAAAACTGTATCGTACTGTGAGGGCTCTGCATCTACCACAAGTCCCATCGTTTTCTCCCAATTTATTTTTAACCAAGACCGCATATTTTTTGGGTTGGGCCACAACGGAATTTGAGTCGCAAACACGAACATCCTGACCTCTTTGCAGTGTTTCTTGATGGAAGTTGTAAAGAAAATTTCCTGGTTCTAACTCTTGTTGCATGATGTTCATTGATGGTATATTATAGTCCTAGACTGGATTTGGTCATCAGTTAGAAATTCTTGACGATTACTTTAGTGTTTGAAAGTTTTAGTTCAAGCATTTATTGAACCAGATGCTTGAGAGTAATTTCATTAAAAGGTTGAATCAGAGATGATATAATAAAAATTCAGTGATGCTGAAAGCTCCCAGGAGCAATTTGTTTGGATTTGGTGATTCGTTAGGAAAGGTATTCTGAAGAGAGGATGATACAAAATGGAGAACAAGCAAGGGAAAAGAGAAAATTTTAAGTAGAGATAAAGCCGAGAAATGAGAGAGGGAAACCTCTTTATTAGGTTTCAATTCTTCTCTAATATAGTATTTCTTGTATTTGCTCACTTGCAGATAGTCATGCACTTCCTCAAACCCGAACCCAGAGGTCAACACCGTCGACAGGAGATGAGTTCTATAACAGGCAAGCACTGATTGAGATTTTGGAATACTCTTAGATGCATTAACGATTACGCATTCTTTCACGTTTCTTCGTAATATATCCTAAATCACGATCACTGAATATAAATACAGGTTTAAAAGGAACGCAGGCCTCGTGGCAATGGGTGTTGTCAAGAATGTGAATAAAATCGGAAACCGCATCAAAGTAACTCTGAATGACATTCTGTATAGGCGACCAAAGTGAGAATTATGACTACTGTTATATGATTGAATGCATCATTCTAATAAGGAATTCTATTGTATTTTTCGCGTTTTTGCCATGGATTAAATCACTGAGCCCGTTTTTCAACGCTGGAAGATGAAGCATTTGGCTGCTATACTCATTTTTGTTGAGTATACATGAAAGTAGGTGGCTGCCGATGGGGCTTTTGTTCATTTCCAATGCTCAATCTTTGATTTGATAGTGTGCTAAATTGTTAAAATTTTGTTGTTTAGTGTGCTAAATTGTTAAAATTTTGTTGTTTACTTACCATTGTTGGATAGAATATCCACTTGCAATTCTCAAATAGATTTTATACTTAGTGATATACTTTTTATTATTATTATTATTAAGGGGTAAGAATAAGACGGTATTTGTTCATAGATAAATTTTCACAATTTAACATTGAACGTTCACATTTCTGGTGCTCGAACGCGAGACCTTACAAATCTTTTACTACCAAGGTCCTTTGGTTCGTGCTTAATAATATACTAAATAGATTTATTAAACAAAAACTTCTCTCTATAATTAAAAAATGCATATTTTCTATACTATTACACAAGTTAATTAGCATGTGATTACTTCAAAGTAATTTGCTACAACTTAGACATATTTGCATAACTAACGGTTAAATCATTTGATATTATGAACGCATTCAAACATTTCTGCTTGCGGAGGCTGGTGCTTGAACCTGGTACATCTAAGAATAATAATTATCCCTTTAACTGCTTAAGTAACTTGGTTCGTGTCAATTCTATACTTTTAAAACGAATAAAAAAGGTAAATAAAAATATTATACCAATCCTTATACTACAATGGATCACATGATTTCACAATGGACAAAATCAGATAAGCTGCATGCACGAATGAAAAGGATGATGGGTGAAAGTCTCGTTCATCTTCTTAAAAATTTTAAATACACTTTTTTTTTATGAATAAAATGTTTAGTCTTTAAATTTTTTTAAAATTATTCCCTCTAACATAAAATCTTACATTCTTTGCATGCTGATATTGTAAAGCTGTTAATGGTAAATCTGTTGCTGAAAGATATAAATCAGACTTTCAATAATTAGAGATGTGCTAGAAAAAAAATGTTGGGTGATCATATTCTTTCAAAATTTTATATTATTTTAAATTTTTATATATTTTATATTGATAATATAACTTTATATTTTAAAAATTTTATAACTTTACCAATACAAAAATTTTCAACCAGTGGCGAAATTTGGTGATAGAGTTTGAGGTTAATTTAAAAAGATTGGTGGTTTAAATTGAAAATTTTAAACATTTTTGAAGGGTTTATTTTACATTTTTTTTACAAAAAAAATAGGATCTAACTAAAATTTTGAAATTTCGATAGGCTTAATGAGAACTTTTAAAATTTATTGGAGCGGATTTAATTAAAAAATATTAAAAGTTTAATCTAAATTTTTAAAAAATTTAGAAGGGGTTAAATTAAACTTTTTTTAAAAAGTAAAGGTCCAAATTATAACTTTTTAAAATTTTGGGGGCCATAGCCCCACTAGTCTCTCTTTAATACCGACACTGATCCCAACATACAAAATCATATCAGAATTGCATGAGGTTGATTATAAACCCATCAATGGTAAGTAGGGATAGACCAAAACAGACGGACGAATAAGACAGTCGTCCCTTAAAAACTAAAACTTATCATAAGAGTTAAACTAAGCTAAACCTAATAAGAGATAAACTAAACCCGGTTCAACCCTGGCTTAGCTTGCTATTTTCCTAAACTAAGCTCTCAAAAACTCGGAATCATCTGACACCTTCCCTTCTGCTACCCCTTTCTTTCTCCTCATTTCCAAAACTTTCCGGTGGCTGTTGGAGTGTACGTCACCGGAAAAAGTGGGGCTACGAGCCGGTCTGTACTCGGGAAAGAGCCGACCGGACTTATAACGAACCCCACAAGCGTTGCACAAGGTTTTGGCACCGAGTGGACCGGTTCGCCACTGAGGAGTCTTCTGGACTTGGCAATGACTACACCTCCGTTGTAAAGCGCTGCCGCCGCAGGCCTGAACACCCGGTTTTTTCCTCTGCTTCTTCGCCGGCGGTTCAGCGAAATCGTTGGTCAGGTCGCTTTTTAGAACCAGAGCCGAGGTCATGGAAAATCCGGAAGAAGCACTTGAAGATGACGACGCCGTCGTCGAAGACGATGACTCGGAAAGAGGAATCGACCCAACCGGCCATGCTTTTCCGGTGGGTTTAGCCCTTTTGCTCCGACTTTTAGACGGAACCGGTGACGAAAAACACGGCGTTTTCACAAAAACCGGCGCCGGCGCGGATTGAAACCGAGCTTTTGCCGGGTTTTCCTTGAAAACCGGGCATGGAAATTGAAGCTCCGGAACCGAATCGTCCACAAACTGAGACACCCATTCAAGCCCTGCAATTTCTTCATCCTAAAAAACAAATATACATGAATCAAAATTTTGCATGGAAAAAAGGGTTTAATTTATTTTTTTGTAATTTAAAAAATTTAAGAAAATTGAAGTTTACCGGTACGGATAATTCGTTGGTGATAACAGAATCAAAGGATAAACTGCTGGAATTCGAGTTGCTATCATCATCCGCTACACGTTCTTGCGAGAGAAAAAAACCAGAATTTTCTTCATTTTCTTCTTCTTCTTCGTTTTCGAATTCTCCGTTCGTGAAATCAAAGAAGCAATCGACGGAGAAATCTTCACCGCCGTTCAGGCACAATAAATCATCAAAAACAGCATGCTGGTTGTCCTTCTGCATGGTTAATTCTCCCCTTGCACTTGATTTCAACGCTCTTACCTCCATGCAGAACTCCATTTTATCTACACCCAAACAACAAACCTTGTTTTCCTAGTTAAATAATTCACAAAATCACTAATTGGATAAAACCCAGGAATTCAAAAGCAACGGGAAAGTGAAAAGATAAAGATTATATATAACAAAATATATTTTTTAAAATAAATTACCTGATACGGATGAAGGATGAGAAAGATGGAAAGGTGAGGAGTTGGTTAAGGCTTGTTCGACGGCGAGACTAATGCTAAAACTTTGAAAGAGAGTTTAATGGATTTTATCTTCTTTATTTTCTTTCACTCTACAATTTATTTTTTTCAATTTGTGAAATTATTTATACTGTAAAAAGAAAAGTCTTGTTGGAAGAGATTTGACTTTTCTGCGGTGGCCTTGTTTGGACCGAATCCAATAATTTCCATAAAGATCTTTCTTTCCGATTGTTTCATGTTCACTGGATTTCCTTTTGACATGTCTTCTTCTTCTTCTTTGTACCTGGAGGTTGTTAACAAGGCCATCATCATCATGGTTATTATCACATAGACTATCATAAATATTAAAACAACATTCCTTTCATAGTAAAGACATAACCACAAATAAAAGTATCAAATATCATATAGAAATTTATGCAAATTCACACAAATTAAACAAAATTAAGTTTTCAGTTTCCACAAATTTAACATAAACCTCTAGGTCGTATGTTTAATCGAGCATTCAAGCATTCGACAAAATAAGAACACATAAAGATAATATGAGATGCATTTATTGAGATTGTGATGTATTGATATGATTGGAAGTCTGATCCTTATCGTCTAAGATCTCGAGTGAAGAATCGTGAATTATAAATCTGATCTTCAATACAAACATATTATTTCTAAGCAAGTCGTGTTGATAACGTGTTATGAAACTATATAAATGTATGACACAATATAAGAGTGAATATTATCTGTTTATTACTCATATCTTAAGAGCTTGTTCGTGCATTTTTTTGCAGGCTCTAAACTCATAGATTACTAGAATCATATGTTACAAAACGTAATCATTAAATTATCATACATTAAGTATGAAAGAAAAAAAATCCACTTAAATGAATTCATTTATAATAATTCCAGTATTAATATTCAACATGAAAATAGAATTGTAGAGGGAGAGCTCAGAAAGAGTAAAATAGGAACGTGCGCACCATAACAACATATTTTCTAGATTATAGTCTTCAAAAAATTTCAAAATCACATTGTCACCGAATTTTTGCCCACGACAAAAAGCTCTTTCACTGAACCACCCTCACCCTCGCAAAACCGAAGGCATCTGTTTACCGATTTCTCCGTTTATAGCTCTTTGAATCCATCGGAAAAAAGCTCCGATCGTCCTCCGGTGAATGGACGCGATAAGAAAACAAGCCACGCGGCTCCGAGAACAAGTCGCCCGCCAGCAACAGGTCTCTCTACCTCTACTATCTCCTAATTCAATCTCTACCTCTTTTTTTCATAGTTGCTTTAGATCCAGGTCAACGCCTATTTATCAGCTTCATACTTCATCTTTCTATATATTTTCTCTCTATGTGTGTATATATATATATATATATATATAGAGAGAGAGAGAGAGAGAGCTGTTTGTTTTCGATCTGATTTTCTTGTTAATCTGCTTTATTTTGATTCAGTGTTCGATTTTCAGCTAAGTGTCGGATCTATTTCTATGTGCCTTATAGCGCGTTTATGATTCATGAATCGGATCAAAATATTAAACTGAAAATGATGAGCTATTTGATGTTATTTTATTAGCTTAATTGAAATTTTTGAAGTTTGGAGGATGGAATTTGAAATTGGATCGGTAGTCTTTTTAAAAATTGCGTTTCAATCGAATGATGATAAAAGTGAAAATAAGTGTTCCATTTTGTTTTTCCCTTTTGAAATCAGTATGGTAAATCCTCCGTATGTTTTATTGGTTTCAGATTTACCATCTACGTAGAGTGTTACTTGTTTTAACTCAAATGCGTGGCCATGTTCTTGTTGTTTCGAACTTATCTAATCTTTTTTTCCCTGAATGCTACTTCAGGCCGTCTTAAAACAGTTTGGGGGATATGGAGGTTCAGACAATGTAATTACTGATGATGCAGAATTCCAGCAACATCAGAAACTCGAAAAGCTTTATGTCTCGACCCGTGCTGGCAAGGTTACTAAGTTGTTCACCTGGTCTCTTGCATCAATTGTTCTATCGTGCGTTCTCTTCATTTACCTTTGCAAATTTCTTGTGTTTCAGCATTTTCAAAGGGATATTGTCCGCGGTGTTGAAGGAATATCGTCACTGGGTCCAAACAAGTTGAAATAGGCAAGTTGGTGAAGCATTTGTTAATTTTTAAAATTTCCACTTTGAATTCAATGGAACTGACTTCTTTGTTCTGTCATGTACATCTTTTCTTGACAGGGACAAAGCTGTCCGATGATAGCAGGAAATATGGTTCTGAAAATACTTGTACCAGCGGCAATACATTATCAAATGCTTCATTAGGTTATGGACGTGCTCGTGCTGAAATGGAGAAGGAACAAGGGAATCTGTTGAAGGCTCTTGGCACACAGGTTTGTTTAGTATTTGTATTACTATAACATAAAATACTAGCAAATTAGGTTGCTATGTTCTTGAATCTATGGAAGAAAACTAGTATAATAGGCTATGTGGTGACCTGGACATGGATTATTCACTTTTGGCGTTACGTATATATGTGTTATCTTTATCCTGAGTTATGTAGTCCGCCGTTAAATCATCAGGATGCTATTTTTGATGATTTGATTGTTAGGTTGCCGAGCCACTAAGAGCAATGGTAATGGGAGCTCCTTTGGAAGATGCACGACATCTTGCTCAACGTTATGACAGAATGCGACAAGAAGCTGAAGCACAGGTTTACAATTAGCAAATCTTAAATTTGAAATGCTGATTGTATTGCAAGTGCGTATTGACACCATCTCTTGATCATACGACAGGCAATCGAAGTTTCGAAACGCCAAGCGAGAGTGAGGGAAACACTTGGAAATCCTGAGAATGTCATCAAATTGGAATCCGCAGAAACGAGACTGCAAGATCTAAAGTCAAACATGGCAATATTGGGGAAAGAAGCTGCTGCAGCAATGACCGCTGTTGAAGCTCAACAACAGAGATTGACACTTCAGAGACTTATTGCTATGGTAATGCAAACTTCCTTCTATGTAAAATCTTAATTTTATATTGGATGTCTAGGAATTTAATTTTAACATTTCGTCCTATTTTTTCTTATACTGAAAGGTTGAAGCTGAACGTACATATCATCAACGAGTCCTTCAAATACTTGATCAGCTCGACGCGGAGGTATGAATTGCGCTACTGAATCCTTTCTCGATATTCTTTTGCTGAAACTGATTAAACAGTATTACTACAATACAATTTCCTCTGTCATAATAGATGAGATCTGAACGACAACGAATTGAAGCACCTCCCACCCCAAGTGTGGACACTATGCCTCCACCTCCATCATATGAGGAAGTTAATGGAGTTTATGCTTCTCAAGCAAGTAATGGGTCAACGGTCAGCATGGGGTACTTTTTAGGCGAGGTTTGTCAAACGGTCCTATATACCAACGGCAGATTGGTATCAGCAAGTAGCTTTAATCTGTGCAATGGCCTACTAATTGTTGTATTATTACAGGTTATGCATACGTATAATGGTGAATCGAACGTGGAGCTTTCTTTGTCAGTTGGTGACTACGTAGTTGTGCGAAAGGTTCGACAGACTCAAGTTAACAATTTTGCAACTGTATATGATTTTCGGGCAACCAACATGGATTCACTATGTAAAAACTCATGGCTTATTGGCAGGTGACGAACAATGGGTGGGCTGAGGGCGAATGCAAGGGAAAAGCGGGTTGGTTCCCTTTCGGATACATCGAAAGAAGGGAACGTGTTCTCGCGAGCAAAGTTGCAGAAGTTTTCTAACACATTCTCTGCTTGGTGGTGTCGGAGAAGACGATTTGGTACGTGCATCTTCTCTTTTTTGGTGGTTTCTTTGTGCTTATATTCGTATTGGGAAGCTTGAGAATTTGTCACGGATAGAAGCTTTCTTCTCAATATGTGAATACATTTTACGTTTCTGTTTATCCTCTCTTTTCTTTTACACGAGTTTATGTCCTTATTTTCTTTTTTTATTTATTGATATACATGTCGCATGTTTTGCTATTATTTATTTTTAACATCATTAATTTTCATTTAAACCTTTTTTTTTTCAATTTCAAAATTTTAATAGTATATTTTTTTTAAAATAATTATTTATCCAAATAAAATAATCAAAATGGTGTACCCTCAAAGATTTCAACTTACAAGCATATTTTTTTGGGTAGAATATAAGCATGGACTTTATAGGAATAAGTACTAAAATGACAAACTTTGATCGAATACGTAATTTTTTCCTGAGCAAATTGAATATGTATTTTATTTTTATTCAATTTTTATAAATTATGAAAATTGTTATCAATGCATTTATCATTCCCATTTAAATAAAAATCAAAATGAATTGATTTTTTTTGTTTTTAAAATTTCTATATATGCATTAAGTTTAATTTCATTTAATTTTCACAATTTTTTAAAACTAATATTAATATGTTTTTCATTTTATAATTAATCAAAATTAATTGTACAAAATCAAAATCTATATATTATATTTAACTAATATTAATGTACAATTTTAATATTTATCTCTGTTTTACAAAAACATGGTAAAATCAATTTCACCACGCTGACTATATATATATATATATATTAAAACTTTTACGAGCATAAGTAGAATACCATAGTATCCCTTATTTTGAAAGAAAACTATTACATCATTATTTTCTAAATATTGCGGCAGTCTAAACACATGACGGCTAATGAGATGATTGCTCGAAAATAAACCAAGGTCCTGCACAAAGGGAAACGAAACAAAACAAAACAAAAGAATTTTGAATAATTATTTGATATGTTGACGGTGAAGTTTATTAATTCTACTGTCAGTAGGCCCGTAAACTAATCGAACGAACACGAATAAGGATATATTCATGTGAATTTAACTTTAGCCGAACAAACACGACTAAACGAACATAATTTATTGTTCGTGCTTGTTTGTTAAAGAATATAACTTGTACGTGTTCGTTCTTTAAAGTGATAAACTCTCACAAATGAACACAAATGAAAATAAACAATAAACGTAAAATGTAACTTTCCTTTAAATCAAGCAAAAAATCTTAGAAGAATATAAAATTATAAATAAAAAATATAAATTTAATGAAACAAATAAATATAAATGAATGAATTATCGAACGTAAGCGAACATAAACGAACAAATAACCAAACATAAACGAATGGATTAAACGAACAACGAACGAGCCTTTTATTCATGCTTGTTTATTTAATTAAACGAACAAAAAGTCTTGTTCATATTCGTTCGTTTAATATATAAACGAACTTTCCGCCAAACAGTTAAGTGAAAGTTCGGTTCGTTTACAGGCTCAACGAGCAGAATTAAGAAATCATCACATATAATTAATTAAGTAATAAAACTCACTAGTTGTTAGGTCAATTTGAACCACGATTAGCCAAAACAATGGCCAGTATAAAGAAAAGTATAACAGCCTGCATTGGGTTAAATAAGAATATTAGAAAATATCATAGGAAATACACACAAAAAGGATGCAAAAAAAAAAAAAGGCATAGTAAACTCACCAGAAGTGGAGTGTAATTGGACTGACTCGGAATAATGTAAGATTTCCTGGTCAAAATTGTTTTTTTAAGTATAAAGATATGAAAATAAATAAATAAATAAATAAATAATAAATAAAAATATATATAAATGTAGACCTTTCATTCAGGACCCCAGAGTCCCTGCAAGTCTTGAGGATTGAATCTAGTCTGCTCAAAGTTTTTTGTGCATTGGGATCATTATGATCAACCTAAAATAGCCAAAGATGCAGTTTTGGTGCTGTTAAACCCGGAAAATACAATACGAGTACGATTGCATTCGATGACATTATCGACTTATCCTGGTCGGGTATACAGTGGAATATCGAATATTGAGAATAACCACATACCTTAGCTTTCAACATACAAGAAAAATCGTAGAAAGCACCATAGACATCAGCCATCGATTTTGTTCGGTCCATGACTTTTGCAGTGAGACCTGAAAACACGATCAAAGACGGACTCAAGTCTTAATTACTTTTCAACATTACATTCCCTGGACCAAAACTTGAAGATGAAAGATTGAATTATCACAGTTCGACATAAAACGATCAAAGCACCGAGATCAGGTTTGTTATGATTCTATTTACGGAAACAAGTTTAAGGGAATCCGTAAAACCCCTTTTAAGGCCTGTGCCCTAATAAGCTTTAAGCTCAAAGGAAACATTTCCAAAGACTCGAAGCTTACCACGCCTCATTTTCACTACGCCTCTGAAAACTTCAATGTTGTTGTAGCACAAGGCTAGCGTTCCAATAGCCATGACCTAGTAACAGCATGACATGAGCAAAAACAGAGACAAAGTTGAGCAGATCAATATTTGATAAATATGGCGTGCAACTCGAATGATATAACGAATATGAACTGATGGAATACTGCCTCAAACCTGAGGAATAGCACAAAACCGAAAGATTGACGGAGTACGTAAAGCAGACATGTACTTCATGCAATCATCCACATGGATTAAAGTATTAGTGATCATGTCATTCAAGCACTGCACTGCCTTGACCGAGTTTTCTTCGTATTTCAAGTCCTACGGTTAAATTCATACACATTTATAAGTTACTGGCATGAAATTTGGTTACGGTTTCAGCTGGAAGTTAGTATAGAAGGTGCAAAGGAGGCATACCTCCAGTTTGTTGACATATTTACTCCAAATCTCACGAGGCCAAAACATTCGAGACTTTGGTATCTCGTTAATATCCTCAAGATAATCTCGGATAATATTCGTTTTCTGCCATTTTGTTAGATCCAGATCACATAATTTAAGAATCATGTCTTCAAACAAATGTCAAAATGCACGCATAAGAAATGTTGCTTCATTCATATATCAGAACAATACCTGAAGAAATAAACCCATTGAATTGGAGAGTGAATCTGGAGCCAAATCTTCTGTGCCGCAGGCATGGAAAAGTTTGGAAAGACCTAATCCCACAAGTCCTGCTACATAGTGACAATATTCATCGTAGTCATCAACCGTTTCAACCTGCAGCAAAACACAAGTTCCCGGGATCGTATATAAGATAATATAAATACATATTTTGCTCAAGTATACAAAATGATATGAAGACATTTAAGAGTTGTATTCTTGCATGCATATTGAACAGATTCAGGGGCTAAACTTGAGAGATCGAGTTCTTATATATGGTAGAAGACAATCTAGAAGAGATCAACCGGATTTCAATAATGCAAGAATGACAAACCTCCTTGCAAATGAATTTTGCCATCCCTGCACCCATTCTTTTCGTAATGTCCTCGATAGCCTCCTGATAACTGCATAATCAATTGAGAATTATCGACTTTTTTCTCCTTCGGGATCAAAATCCACAATCAAAAACAACTTGAACCACTTATCTAAGATAGCCTAGTTAGGAGATAAAGACATAAACTAAATAAACACATACAAATCAGCACCACATTTAAGTCTTCATGAACAAGGAAGATTGAGAAAAATAAATAAATAACCGACCCTTTTCGAGTTCGAGAAAAGCAGTAGATACATGATGAAACTCGTCCATAAGAACTTTGTAGTTCTTTGTACCACCTGAAAAAAGAGATAAAGCTATATAAGCAAACACACCGGGATTCATTAACCGGTAAAGTTTTCGGCAATAAAATTAGCCCAATCCTGGTGCCAAATTGCTCTACTCCACAGAGAATCGGGAATCCTCCTTTGAAGGAGAAAAAACTTCTAGATGCTCACATGAAAAGTGCCAGTTGCGATCGTATATATGACGATAAAAGTCCTTGAGGATAGGAACTTTGACATCAGTTGCTACACTAGTGTCATCCTCTGCACGAAAAAAAAAGCATCAGTACAGATCAACACTTGACTGTAATGATCTAAAGATATGAGAACAAAACTCGGCTTCTTATCGAACAACTCGAAAAGGAAATGCAGAATATTCCTATCATTCACAGATTATAGAGGCCAAATATGCAGAAATTGTCCTAGTAATTTAGAATCGGTGAAAGATTATGCACAATGGGAAAATAACATTGAAAAGAAAGGGAAATAAAGGGTTAAGAAGACTAAAGAACAAACCAACAGTATCCAGCGCTCGAAGAACCAAATAGAATATGCAGATCTGCAAAACCACAAGCATAGGAAAAAAATCAAATCACCAGATTGAACAACGATTAGTCTATTCTTAAGGATTAATAAATACAATCGAAATGGACAGTAAATTTACGAAATCAGACTACACCATATGAAATCCATAGAGTTTTCTTACGGCTTTTCTAAGCTCGGTGTCGAGCTGTTGAATAACGAAGGCGAAACTACGAGAGACTTTGTGAAGCATGGAGAAACAAAAGGCCAAGTGAGGCTCCGACGGGATCTTTTTCGCGGCATGCCTCGAAGCCAATTTCAGCTTCAACAATGGATAGAAATCATCCGGGTGTTTCACAAGCGCTCCCAAACTCCCCATAATTGAAGATTTGTTTTGAAATCAGATCCAAAACAACAAAACGAAATCTGGGGTATATGGCGAAACAAATGGTTGTTTGGATTTCCGAGGGGGAAATGCAAACTGGGTGTGTCTTTATTTATAGTTTCATTGAAATGATGCTTGGTTTTGGCCTACTTTGCTACCTAAACAGATTTCGAATTTGATTTTGTGAGTCGATCTTTTATTGATTTTCTACTTGATTTTTGAGGAATTTATTGCCAGAAAGCCCGTGGCTCGGAAAGTGCTGAAATTTGAGATATATTTATTCAGTAATTTGGACTTTTTGGCTGTCTGGACATTCAATCTTTTTCAGCATTTGTACAGAGTACTTAAGGTGTGTTTGGATGTAGCCTTTTTGATGCTATTGATTTTTTTTATATTAGATGAAAATTATTAATTAACTGTTAATATATTATTGATGTGATATTTTTATTTTTTTGTCTTTTTAGTTTTAAGATTTCGTCATAACTAATCTATAATGATCCGTGTCGCATACCTAATTTTAGTGGGTGTGTCTCCCAATCGAAATTTTCTGCATACACAAGTATTCGAACTTGAGATATGTTTAAACGATATCAAGTTACTACCACTTGAACCAACATCGATTGATTATCACATATCATGTAATCACCTTGATGATATAAATATATCATATCAAATTAAATGATGCGACACATCACTTAATTGTCTTAGATGATGTCACAAATATCATGTTATTATTTTAAGGACTTGATATATATATGTCATTATCTTAATTGATATGACACATACAAGATCATTATATTGGATTATATGAAATATATCACATAATTATATTAAAAAATATGATACGTGACACGTCAATAATTTAACACACATAAAAGTATTATGTCAACATGTAATGACGTTAGTAAACTAATACTTAAACTCATCAAACAACTCCAGTTGTAAAAGGGAGTGTTGTTCTCCTAAAAGATTCCGAGTTCAAGTAATCGTGTTTGTAGAGTATGTACACATTATCGATGGCTTAAAAAATTTGAACAAATGTTATCTTATAATTATTATATATCATTAAAAAATTAATAATTTTCATTCAATATTGATCATTTTGACTAAAAATTAAAACATAAAAACCAAAAAAGTGTTAAGAAATGCCTACATCGTCTCATCATAATAAATTCCAAGTCCAGAAGAGGGACAAATTAGAGAAAATTATCGAGTTTTGAGACCATTATACACAAAAAAAAAAAATTCAAGGACTAAATATTATTTTATTCCTTTTATTTTCTATTTTTTTTTGGATATTTTCCAGTTTAAAGTGTACCAATCAAACCATAATTATCCAAACACGCCCTAACTTGATTGGCAATATAACTGTCATTAGCAATATAATAAAGGTTTTATTTACTAAATGATGTGACGTCTATCTACTACATTGATTGGCAGTTTGGCACTTAGTACTTACATAGCTATTGCAATAATGCAGATTTTCATTAATTTAACATAATAAAATTGTGTATATTAAATTAGTTTAGGTAAAAATACACAAATGATCTTTTAATTATAGGACATTGCTTTGTTAAGTCGTCGACTTCGTTAATTCATGTTAACGTGGATGTTTTCTTAAATCTGTTACGAATGAAATATTATTTGTGGCTAATGGTAGAGACGAAAATAATCAATTTTCAGTTGCATTAGTAGTTGCCGAAGAGGAAGGAGAAGAATTATGAAGACGATTTTGCCATAAACGTATGGTTGATTTAGAGCATCGTAATGACGAAAATTATATATCAAAGTCAAATTTAAAATATTTAAGGTAAAAGGGTAAGCGAAGCTTGTGTGATTTAAAAAAATTGATGTAAATATTGTATTATTTTTCTCTTAATGTGACCTTCTAACTTAAAAGAACTCAATATGATCATTTGCCGAACGTTTTCCGTCATTGATCAACGACTTCGTTAATTCATAGTGACAAATGATTTACAAATGGAATATTGTTTGTGGCTGATGGTAGAGACGGCAATAATCAATTTCGATTGCATTAATAGTTGTTGAAGAGGAAGAAGAAGAATTATGAAGATGATTTTATCAAAAAACGTATGGTTGATTTAGAGCATCGTAATGACAATGAACTTACGTTGATATTGGCCAATGACGAAAAACGTTGGTCAAATGACCATATTGGGTTTTTTTTTAATTGAATGGCCACATTGAGAGAAAAAATAATACGAGAGTCACATTAATTTTTTTCCTAAAAGTACATGGGGCTTCATGTACCTTTTTACCAATATTTAATTTGACAACAAAATATTTAGGTACCAAAATGTATATTTACCCTAAAACAAATTACAAGAGTTGTTGGTATGAAAAAGAAAGTACTTACAGTTTTTCTAAGCTCGGCAGATTGAAGCACCGTGGTAACGGGCTATTTGATATAACTGACACCTTTTTTTTTATTTTCCCTTTATGACACCGTTTGATCAATATTTTCAGAAGTAGCACCATTTCTGCTGAGTTGGCAAAGGCGCGTCCTCGGGGACGCGCTTTACCCGTGTTTTCGCTGAGTTGGATGCCACGTGTGGAAGGCGCATCCCCGGGGACGCGCCTTTGCCAACTCAGCAGACACGTGTGGAAAGCGCATCCCCGGGGACGCACCTTCCATTAAATGTCATAAATGCCCCCATCCGTTTTTCCTAACTACCCCTCCTCCTCCCCTATATAAACCCCCTCAACCCTCCCTCGTTCTTCACACCAAAATCATCTTCTCATCTCTTATATAACTCAAATTCTCCAACTATTTGAGTTTTAAATTTGTTATTAGTGGTAAGAAACTTATTTTTATGTAAGTATTTTTTTAAATAGTTATTATTTTTTATATTAATATATTTATGTAAATATTATATTTTTATTAAAATAATATTTATATAATTATTATTTATTTAGAATTATTAATTTTTTTTTGCTAATTATATTGTTTTGTCTACAGTTATAATGGAAAACGAAATGCTGTTGCGATTGGATATTGATCATATCTCCAGATATTTTAGCGATATGGTAATATTTTTTATAATTAATGTTAATATTTAAATTTATTTTTATTTTAAAGTTATTATGAATTTATATTAATTTTTATTTTTTATAATGTATATTATTTAGGATGCTGATCGTATTTTAGAGACTTTTATTAAAAATCCACGTATACCGACACCGGAACGTATTTTGCCATATTTGGCTTCTGTCGGGTTCGGGTATATTGCAACAATTATAGGCGGTTGCAAACTCGAACCTGTCCTAATTTATGCACTGATTAAGAGGTGGAGGCCGAGACACACACTTTTCACCTTCCATGTGGAGAGGCGACAATTACATTGGAGGATGTCTCTATGCACCTGGGGCTTCCCGTCGACGGAAATATGATGTGTGGTATAGCGGATGGTGATTGGCAATCAATGTGCATTGATTATCTTGGAGCTGCTCTGCCAGAGTTTAATGGAGGTAGAATAGCTTTATCTTGGTTGAAAGCTAATTTTGAGGTTTTAAATGAAAATGCTTCAGAGGATCAAGCAAAGGCATGTGCTCGGGCATATATTCTACGAATAATTGGAGGAATATTGATGCCCGACAAATCTCGCAACCAGGTGCATTGTATGTGGTTGCGGCATCTGATCGATTTTGATGAAGCTGGAAGATATATTTGGGGTGCTGCAGTTTTGACATTTCTCTTTAGAGAAATGTGTCGGCGACGAATTATAATAAAACTGCTATCGGTGGATGTCTTCTGCTTCTACAATCATGGGCGTGGTTTCGCATGTCTTTCTTATGCCCGATCGTGAATGAACCATACGTATTCCCCTTATTGTTGAGGTAATTTTCGAACTAAATTTTGATTTAAATATTTTCAATTAAATAGAGTGATATTTAGTTTATATTATATTTAATAGGTGGTCGATGACACATTTCATGTTATGATTGGAGGATTAAATATTAAATTAAACAAATTAAAAGTTATTAAAAAATTTATGTATACGATGACACATTTCATGTTCTGATTGGAGGATTAAATTTATTAAATTAAATTTTCAATAAGACTAATTTTATAAAATATGTAAGTCTTGAAGATTAAATATGTAATTATACTAATTTATTAACTTATACATCAATATTTTCGTTAAATATTGATATGAGATGACTAGATTGATAACATTTAAATAATTAACTGATAAAATTAATAGATCGATAATCAAAATCAAAAATAATAATATAACCATATGTGTAATATTATAATTTCATACATTTTTCCTATAATCGAAACATTTATAATAATAATAAAATACGTGTCTGCTGATTCTTACATTTGATAATT